TTGTATTTCCAGACAGACGCAGTGTTTCTCATTAAGATCCACTCCTTGGTAATAAAAACTAAACACCGACTTAAACAGAGTTACTGTGATGTAAACAGTAAGATGGCTGAAACATGTGCTTCCTTATCATATGCCGACTGACTATCTAACAACCGGTGTGACTTTACGTATATATTTGTATGCATTCTACTTCCCGCGCTATGCTCCTTCTGGTGGAAGCTTCAGTGACCGCAATGTTGTGTTCCTCGTGACGTGCGTAAATTCTATAGCATGCAGAACGTAATGGAGGGTTCTGTGTGTGTCTGTTAGGTAGTGATCTAGTATTGGTGTGTGTGTTCCCCTTTCGAGATGGTTTTCACATGGTTAACCCCATTGAAAGCGGGAAAGCTTTGTCAAGTCGACCCCCCTTGAGAGATTCGTTGCCAAGTAGCGCGACGCTTTGACCGAAGTCGGATCAATTCAAGGGAATTGATAATGTTATGGTAAACTTTCATTACAACTGCTTGCTAGAATGGTGATCTATCATAAATTTAATATCAGTATGATAGTCAATGTAATACAAACTATTACAACATTGTGGTTGGCTTAAATGTGGTATTGAGAATTATGTACTGACGCGTGGTGAAGGTTTGGTGCAGTTCCTGTTGTGATGAAAAACAATGTAATGAACTTTGGTAGATGAATAAGGAAAGCACACTCATGGTCATGATTAATGTGGGCCAAAACAAAAGTGTTTTTTTTTTATAGCGCTTAGAGACTTCGGTGGTAAGCGCTTTATAAGTAACGTTTTTATTATTTATTATTATTATTATTATTATTAGGTAGATAAATTGAGGACATTAATCACAAGTGTTCCTAATCCATGAAACTTTTACAAGAAGAATGAGACTGATTCTATGACTATGCCAGAGGCGGCGGAGCCGGGGGCACAATGCCCCACACTTTTTCAAGTACCCCTAAAGTGTTCCTTTTTACATAGGAAAGGTACCCCCTTTTACTTCAGATAAGAGCCCTTTTTATTTCTAATAGGAGCCCGTTCCACATTCTTACAAGTCATCAATTGCCTCTTACCACCTCTGATGAGTGCCCCCCCCCCTTTAACTATGATAAATGCCCCTATTCAAATTTGATAGGTGCCCATTTTTGCTTTAACAGTGTTCTTTTCCTTTGTAAGAATTAACCTTCCCATTCCCACAAGTGCCCCTATTAATCTCAGGTGTGCCCCTAGTCAGGTACAAGAATTGCCCCTACCATCTCTGACAAGGGCCCCTCTTATTCAGATACTTGCCCCTTATCACATCTAATTAGTGTCATTTTCCTTCTGATGATAGCCCCTTTTCATTTGTAATAGGTACCCTTTTTCGTTCTCAATAAATGCCTTTCTGCATTTCTGGTGAAGGCCCCTTATCGGGTGCGATAAGTATCCCATTTTCACATCCAATTCCCCTTTTTACATTTGACATGTGCTCTTTTTCTTTTCTAATAAGTGACCTTTTCACTTTTGATATGTGCCCCCCCCCCATTCCTTTCACCATAGAATGTGCTCCTAATTTATTGCGAATAAGAGCAACTTTCTCTTGAATTTCACCCAAAGCTCGCTCGCTACGCTCGTTTGCATTTAAAGTTGAAATAATTATTTTTCTTGTTACAGATCTTTTCAGTCTTTCATGATTATATTTTGCTCAAAACCCCATCAGGATTGTTCTTCCCCAACTGCAAAGTATGATGCTTTTAAAAGCAGTATCTTGGACCATGTAAAGAGAAAAACAAACATCGAAATCTTCCGAGATAATATTATCACAATGTATATAGGGGACTAGGGGTATACACCAATGTCTTCAAATTGTACATTTTCCTCTTGAAATTTTCCTTTGTAGGTTCCCCCTTTTTTCTAGAAAATACCCTTTCTTGTTAGTGCCCGCCCCCCCCCCCCCCCCCCCCCCCCACTTTCAAAGACGCTCCACCGCCCCTGATTTATGCCATGATAGCTCATTACGACTGGGCAGTGGCCCTCTATATGTTGTTCTTGTTGTTCATCACCTTTACTTTGTTTTGTTTATTGATATGATAAAACTCTGGTCCATGCTCTTCACAAATTGTGTAGATATACATACATGTATATATTATATCTTTCAATTTTGGAAGGATAAACGAGGAGTGATATCTCAGATCCGCTGGCCCGCAGTATGCCAGATCATTATAATTATGCATGGAAACTTTCCTGCCAGACCAGCTTATAACGGTGAATAATTATGTAGCGTTATACTTGTACTTGAGGATGTTTGGTCATAAATTAGACATTTTACGACCGTTTTGATAAGTTCATTTGTATCTATGTAGAGGTGTTGGGGTCGAGTGGATGCGTCGCCGGACTGTCGATCACAAGGTCCGCGCTTCAAGTCCCGCCGCCGCACTAATGTCCTTTGGCAAGACATTGATCTACAGTTAATTGCCACACTCCACCCAGGTGAAGTACATGGGTACCTGGTAGGAATTTATTCCTTGAAATGCTAGAGCGCCGTATGGCAGCCGTGCTAAAGCCAGGGTAATATTCGGGAGCGCCAGGAGGGTCAAATCTGACTGACATGAGCGCTATACAAGAACCCACTATTATTAGTATTATCATTAACCAGAAAAATAAGAGAAACAAAATGGCGGAAGTGTGAAATAAATCGAGATTTATGAATGTCTGCAATATAAGATTACTAACTCTGCGTACGCGAATTTCAGATTTGAGAAAACCTCCTGAGTCATACATTTGGAAAATATTAAAATTTTAGTCATTTTGTGTGTTGAAATTAATGGGAAAGTTGTCCAGCAATACGTCAAAGTGCCATTATTGAAGGGCCAACACGTAAAGTGATCATTACTTTTTTAATTTTATTAATCTTGTCCTTATTTTGATATTTATTTAGTACTTTGTAAAGCGCATTGTTATTTTATAGAAGCCTAGGTTATTATTACTATTATTAAAACGGATGAATGCAGACAGATCACGTGTGCGAGCATTCATCTTTACAATATGCACGGGGAGTGCAATTTGGTGATAAGGGGGGTGGTTTCTAGGGCCAAAAAAAAAAAAAAAAAAAAAAAAAAAAAATGTGATCACTACCCCCCCCCCCCCCCCCCAACTTTTCGGCCGGCGCGATTTTCAAAATTTTCAAAAATTGGGCCCCCTCCCCTGAGAAATCCTGGATCCGCCTCTGGACCCATCTTAGAATAATACATGTTTTTAGCTCTTGTACTATCGTGATATGCACTGCACTTTGTTAAGTCACAATGAGACGGGTAATGAACTCGACAAGTTTCGTTCACTTGCAGCGCATACTCACTAATGCACTCGCAAACTGATGTATTATTTATATAATAGACTTCATTTTCCTGATGTATTATCGTTAGCATTAATAAACATTGTTGTATGATAGTCCTGTGTTTGTATAATAAACATGAAATTCAAACTTCGGGCAGCCATAATAAAGCATTCAATTCAACGCAATCATCTGCAATTCGATACAATCTTTCACAAGGCCAGCTAGACACAATAACGACATTATAGACTGTATCTGTTTACAACATGACACCAACGGGCGGTAAAGGGGGCAGAGGGGCACTTAGACCTAGCGGAACTTGAAAGGGGCGCTACCCAATATCCACCGGTAACGTTCATCGTTTGCCGTGCTCCCTCGCGCCTGTTTTAAAAAGACATTTTACTATCGTTGCCCTAGTCGTCACGGTGTAAGATCAAAAGATCGCCAATATTGGGCTAAAAAAATAAACATATTCCCTTCGTCAGTGTCTCGCAAACTCTTCCAACAGACTTATGTTTAATTTTGTATAGCTCTTCAACTTCCAGGATAGAATAATAGGCCTATAATAATTACAATTTCTCGTGTGTCGGTTACGTTCAGCTTTGCGCTCCAAGTAGGAAATTAAAAGCCTCATCTATTATTTTAAAATCAGGCTTATAATTTTTTGTTTAATTAAGCTCGGTAAAGTGACTCGGTAACATTGTTGAAGGTTGATGAAAAAAATTGCTTAATTTTTGTATAAAATGTTACTTACTAAATTCCTTTTACTATACTAACCCTCTGACATGCAAAAAATCCTGAACAAATTCTCAAACCACAAAGATATCTATGGTTTTCTTTGAAGGCGTCGATGTGAGGCACCCTCTAACAGTGATTAACAGTAAATTCTCCCAACCATTTTTGAATTTTCCCAACCGTTTTTCCATGACAAAAATACATTAAAACAGGCTATAAAAATCTGTCAACACTTAACTGTCTGGAATGGAATGTAGAGCCATTTTATTGCTTTGTGACGATTTACATACACCTAAAATGTAATTAAATTGTCCTTGTCTTGATGCTGAAGAGGCTTTGACAAGTAGCAGAATAGAAGTAGAATAATATAGTTGGGAGAATTAAGGAATCGATCAGATCAGTTTTCCCCAATTTGTACCATGAATAATAATCCGTTATCACTAAAATTTTCAGATTATCTTTAATTGTACATCTAGCATTGAAGTCACTACCTTAGCACCACTATCTCTCATCTGAACAATGTTACTAAGTCCCTCTCTTTTGTAGTTTCGGGGCCCCTTCTCGGAAATTTAAAAAAAAAAGATGGGGGGGGGGGGACGACGCTGATAGTATATAGTGATAATAACATTCATTATTTTATTACTATTCTTGTTATAATTATTATTTTTATTATTTGTTGTCATTATTATCGTTTTTTTAATTATTATCATTACTATTATCATTATCATTACTATTATCATTATTATCATTATCATTACTATCATCATTATTATCATTATCATTATTATCATTATAATTTTAATCATTATTATCATTATCATTATCATTATCATTATTATTATCACCATTTTTTTCCTCTTACAAAGAAGGAAGGAAAGTAAGAAAGAGAAGGAATGCGGAAATGACAAAAAAAATATAATAATAATAATACAAAAATGACTGTGACGTAGAGGGCGTCTTGCTTGAAACAAGACATTTGGATTTTGGAAAAAGAAAAGGACTGGACTTGCAAAACCTTCGGTCGTAAATCTTTAGATTTAAAGCCTAAGAGTAAGAGTTTGCCAAATGAATGACAATATGTCCGTCGAGCAGGTGCAGACTGAAGGTATGTAATTGGTCCTTTTTTCTATGTTAAAATTGTGATGTCTTCCACTTTTTAATTTTATTTTATTATTAAATGAATGTGTCCCACATATTGACTTTCATGCAATGCCATTGCACCCAACTATGATTGATACCACCAGTGTGTATGTGTGTGTTGTGTAATTGTGTTTTTTCAGAGGTGTATCAATCAGATATGATTATTTACGTCTGGGGACCATCCGAAAGACGTGACTCCGTTTTAAACAAGCGTCCTCTGCTGAATCAGTTTGTAACTTCCATTTTTAGCTGGATTACACTGTCTTTACAGACGCACGCCACGACGTCCCATGTTCTAGCCTTTGTCTGCGTGCAGAGCTATGTCAATAAAACCTAAAATGTGTTCAAAATCACCCATGGCGGTAGTTCAGAATCATATCCAGACTTTGACCCGTAACTCGGGCGTGGAGATACAAAAAAAAAATCAACTTTCAGTCTTCTTCCTGAAAAGTGCAGGCTTCATGAAATGAAGATACGCACTGTGGGTTGATGCGCGCACAGTCAGTAGTACGCAGACAAGAATTTCTGGTGCAAGTATGTACATTGTAAAGTGATGTGTGGTTAAAAAGTAGCTAGTCTGCATGCTAGATGGTGCCATCCCTCAATGCCGCTTTAAAGCCATTGAGTGAGACAAATTCTCTTGGGTCTTTCTTCAGAGAGTTCAATTCTTTGCTGATGCGGTGCAAGATGGAGAAAGAGTACACTTGGGAGTAGACCGAAAGCTTCAGTCTCTATACCGTCGGTTGTTCCACTGAGACTACGTCTGGCTCCACTAGACCTCCGGTTATAGAGACAGAACGATCGCCTATGCCAGCCTATGTTGAAGATATCACGGCTAGATTTTAGCCGTTAGGCCCCTCCCACAAACATGATTATGAAGGAAAAACTGTGATAACGCCATTACGAACGTGTAGATGGCGCACATTTTTTCCTTCATAATCATTTTGCCTTCGGCGTAGACTAGAAGGGATGAGATTGACGGCAGCGAGAGTTTAACACGGCTTGCAAGATTTTCAACATGGATGTCGATTTTGACCCATAATTTCCTTAAAAGGGACCATTAAACCGATTATTTCAATCAAGTTAGTAAGTGGAACCGATGTATTATAGCCTAGGCCTAATGTAAAATTGGATATGCACGAGGTAAAATGACATTTTGGGGGATTTTGGGGGCATAACAATACGGCCGTGGCAAGTTTGTTCATGTTTGTGGGAGGGGCCTAATGGCTAAAATCTAGCCGTGATATCTTCAACATAGGCTGGCATAGGCGATCGTTCTGTCTCTATAACCGGAGGTCTAGTGGAGCCAGACGTAGTCTCAGTGGAACAACCGACGGTATAGAGACTGAAGCTTTCGGTCTAACTTGGGAGCTGCAGTACGGAGTCCAGAAACGTGAGCTATGACCTCTTGTGATCAACGTAGAATTAGTGAGATGTTGTTTCCACTTGATATCTACCAGGTCCCAGCGGATTCTGTAGAGCATAGCAAGTCGACTCTGGCAGCGCCTACTCTGGAGAGCTGGCCATTGTAGATCCTTCAGTAAGGCTGTAATGCTTGATCTGCGTTCATATGTGCTGGTGACATATCTTGCGCTGCTTCTTTGGACCTGCTTTAGTCGTCTCAAATAATAGTCATGATAAAAATTTGTTATGTTAATATATTTATTACCTGTTTCGTTTCAATTTTCTTTTCTTTTTGGAGTATTTTTCCTAAAAAATGAAGACATTATAATATACACTTTATCACAGGTTCCATGGCAAAAGAATCTTCAGGAGTGAAGGAGGCATATTAAGACAAAGTTTAAGAAACCGCTGCACAATACGATTGCATACCGTACGGACGGTGGGGTGCGAGCCCAGGTGTGCGTGAAGTTAGCAATCATAATGATGATGATCATCATCATGATGTAATTTACTGACATGAATTTAATGAGGATCTGGGATAACGGTCGCTAACTTCGCGCACGCGCCTGTACCCCACCGTTGGTACGGTATGCACAATTGTATTGTGCAGCGGTTTGCAGTGAAAAATACTCCAAAAAAAGATTAGAAATAAATTGTCAGACTCAACACCAACTAAATGTACATGTACAATCAGTTCCACCCCATCTTGTGGCTGACATCACCACAAATCTCATCCTCCTTGGAGTCTATGATGACCCACCCATAACTGCCCAGGCCCTGGATTATCATGCTGCATCCCTCAAGTTCATCGTGGAAATGCACTTTAAACGTTCATCTTTGATCAAAGCAGCTTCTACATAAGACTTCATTAGCACATCTTGTGATCTTTTACATTTATGTACCCCTATTTATATATATTGTCTGCCTATTTTCCATTGAATCACTCTGATACAGCTCTGCAGTTCAGGATGAATAAGAAGATATCAATATCATATTTCATATGGTCACCAAGCCCTTAAGGCTACATTGCACCCAGCTCAAACCTTAAAGTTTGAAGTAGCCTGACCCATCGTCTCCTGTGATACATGTAAAAGTTCATATTTAACATTAGACGGAAGTAAACATCTGGTATGGGGAATTCTTTAATACTACTGGGCATTCCTGAGGTATAGGAGACCAGGCCACAAATGAGGTCAAAATTACATGTAAAGATGTTTTACAGGTACATGTACGTCTGATAGTCATGTTCTTACCCCCTCTGCTGTCTGCGTGGTTATTTGACTGAAATAATAATGTCAAATTTAAAAAAAAAATTTAATGTAGATTTACGGTAGGCCAAAAATGTCATCAGTTACTGATCTTTCGTCTCCCATCGCCTATATAACTCTATCATGCATTACATGAATACGAGACTAGATATGCACGCAGAGGTGATATAGCTGGTACCAGTGCTCCATACGCAGTACTAGTCTCTTACTCTTGTATATATGTTAGGTAAGACCTTGATACATATTGAAGGGTTGGGCAGCATTGCCAGGTTCAACCATTGTCATTTAATAAAATTGATATAATCATTGATGTTTTTGTTTCTTATATCACTTGATTTTGCAGACCTGAAGGCATTTGAACAGAGATTGACCGAGGTTGTTGGATACCTTCGTCCGTATGCATGGAGATGGACAGGTGAGATCATGATCAAGCAATCAAATGTTTGATGTCTCTTCTTCAAGATAATCTGCCTCCTTCAATACTGAAGATTCTTGCAGATGCCTCTTTAAAGCATTGCTCAACATGATACAGTCAACAACCTAAAAGAAAACACATAGGCAATATTAAATCACATAACTTCATCACAAATCTGCATCTTAGTATTCTTAGAATTCTTAGAATACACAGTACTTTTTTTCTTCCCAACACCCCATCCCATCCCCCCCCCCCACACACACACACACTCCTTACTATTCATTTATGTGTCATATTGATTCATTTTGCTACAGAAAATTGATATGGTTCATAAAACATATATAGCTTTCATAACCAAACTTGAGTCAAGATATGCCATGGATGATACATCTGTATGAGCAATGATAACAAGGTTTGGGTTATTTTAACATATTTGTGGCTTACACCCAGTAAATAAGATCGATTGATCGATCTGTATTGAAAAACAAGTCAGAAAAAATATTGGAACCAGCGGGACTTGAACCTGCATTTACTGCTTACCGGGCAGCGACTCTACCACCTGGCCAGGAAGCATTACATTTATAAAAGGTTTGGGTTGTATCTTAAAGTAGATTATAGGAAGGTTTGGATTTATTTATTTTGTAGCACAGCCTTCTATGAGGTTGAGAAATCTCAGTCAGCCTGTAATCAAGACTACAATAACAATCGTTTGCTTACATCTTCATCTAGTCTTGCAATATAGCTTATTATACCTTCTGACACATCTTTGATTGTCGTCCAATATCGGTCAAACTTTAAACAGTTTGTTTCTTTGATTTGTCTGTTTTGTTACATTTTGCCTTTTATACCTTTAGTTAACATGTTCCATTTGACTACAGGATATTGGTTGGATGGGACATTTTTAACATTTGATGCATAGTTTTGAAAGTTATGCTTTACACTTACAAAGGCTGTATATATTGATTGATAAAGGACAAAAAAATGTAAAGAGAAGCATTTGTAGATGGGCAAAGCATCTGTCATTTTTCCTCAAATATTGTTTTGTTTTGTTATTGCAGTGCTTCTGATAGTGATAGCTGTATGTACAGCATGTGGGGCCTGGTATTGGCTATTAGATGAAGAAACATCCAAGGTATTTATGAACACATATTTGTATGAACTTTTAATCACTCTTTGATGAATCCAGTTTAGTATACAGGTATCCATCTCATACATATGCACCTACAATTCTGTGACATTTTACCTTTAAAAGATTCAAGAATACTTTTTCTGCCAAGCGTTTTAATGTCCACCTTTGCTCTAAAACATTGCAGTACGTACAGTTCACTTGTTTACAAATAGCCGATCATAAGTATCTGTGGACACCAAATTTTTACTTACCTCAATCGAGGAAGAAAATATTGTAATTTCAGAAACACCTCAGGCCTGCTTGTCAGACGAACTATGAATGCTTGTTCTTTAGACAGCTTTATTCAATGAAATTATTTGATTTGATTCTAATACATGATATCACTCTCTGTTGTATTCTGTTTCATGTACATGTACCTAGTCACTACCTATACTCTTATCATTATGTTAATGAGTTCATTATTACAATCTATCCACGATTGAGTTAAAGCTGTCTGCATCTAGTATACTCAAGTTCATAAACAGCCTCAACCGGAGTGGGTAGATCCTGTAATGAATGAATGAAAACATGCATCATTTGTTGTATACAACAAAACTACTAGATCCTTGGCAATTGATGTAAAAAAAATAATTACAAGATGTTTTGTGTCCTTATCACTGACAAATCAATCCCATGTTAATAGGCTTAATTACAGAGAGAGAGAGATAAGTGCCCATACTCTACAGTGCGTATAAAAAGTGTACCAAACTTTGGTAGCTTCTAATTACAAATCTATAAGCTTTGTGACATCAAATCATGTTTCAAATGTTGTAAAAGATAACTAATAACCTGTCTAATGATACTATTTCATAATTGTGCTGCCAAGGATGACTGAACAGCAGGCTTTTCAAAAAGTATTTAAAAAAACCATCTTGAACCAAGTTTAGGCTGAAGCAAGGAAATGCTTTTTACAATTAATATTGATGATATCTTCGTTATGATGATTACAATCTTGACTTCATTTGCATCCCTTGTTTAAGGTAACCCTTTCATTGAGTGATACAAAATTGCTTAAGTTTATTTGGGATGTTATCTTTTTGCTGTCAATTTCTTTGATATTTATCATCACATTTGTTCTTTCTTCTTGCATTTGGGTGTAGTAACCTTTGTATTTGAGATAAACACCTTATATGCTCCTTACCCATGTGAAATGGCGCAGCTGCCAAGTGAGCAGAGAGACTTTAGATATCATGAGACAAGAAGTTATTAGGCTTTTAAAAAAAATTAAAGGTTATCCTGTGGAAGCCTAGATACAATGCTTCATTTTAAACAATGAAGCACTGAAGTATGAAGCATAATTTAACTTTTAAAACCCTGGTGCTCATTCATCTGTAGCAGAAATGTTATGAATCGGGTATCATTGGACAGAAAATAAATTACTCTTCATCATGAAATCAATTTCAAAGTCATAATAGTTCCGACTTTTTAATCAGGAGTTACCAAAGTTGGGTATCGGTACACTTTTTTTATACGCACTGTATAAATAAGTGTACAAACCTCTATGCGCAATGCTGCACATCGCATGTACTGTACATAGGAATTGTTGGATAGTATTGGAAATTATTGCATGCAATGTAGGATAGTCGCAGTAAATGAATCACATGTGACCACGTTTGACAAGTTATTTTTGTTTAGGATCTAGGAATGAGTTGTATAAATGCTCTTTGTTTTCACACTTTTTTTTGTCCCTCTTCTTTTTTTTTTAACCACATTATTCCACATGTTAAGAACATGCAGGCTCAGTAAAATTGCATAGTTCTAGCTTTGCAGACTGCCTTTTCCATTACATTCATTCCAAACATAATCCTTAAAATAATATATCATGGTACACATTACTGGTACAGTAGTAGTATACATCCATGCAGGATGGTCTACAAACATGTCAATTTGGAACATGGGACAGAGTGTGTACTTAAGTATGCGAAGCACAAAGTCCCTTGTGACCAGACTTCAGGCCTTGCTTGAGGGTTCTGAGGTGCTTAAATGCATTCTGGTGCAATCTGAGCATTAATTTGAGGCATTTTCAGACTAATTCTATGACCAATATTTCATAAGTAATTTTGATTGAGACTGAATATTAACTCAATGCTGATCTTAAAAGCTGTCACTGTTGCATGTTTTAAACCACTGGAGGACCCCTCTATCCATTGCATGTCTTTCTAGGACGATTGTGAAGGCTAATGACCCCTATCTTTATTTATCTCACAGGTATCTTTCATTCAGTCTTTGAAGAATCATCCTTTCTTTGCCAGCAGTGGTTCTACACTTATTATTCTATTTATGGCAGGCATTCATAAAAGAGTGATTTCACCAGCAATGTATCCTTTTATTCATATACCAAGATGATCTTCATATAAAGGGTATGTTGTCTTAGGAATATTGTGATGATTTAACGCATTTAAATAAAAAATTATCTTTTTGCAGGGCATAGACCTACATGTATTAATGCAAACAGAGAGCCAAAATCAACAATATAAATAGAAACTTTAAGGAACAAGGCGCAAATATAACAAACTATTATTGGCTGTCTAAGGTAACAGTAAATTAGGCTGATTGTATTTGTATTTTTAGTTTTTATTGTCCTTTTCTGGATGTTTGATTTTCACCGGTGTAACATTATACACTGAGATTAATATTTGGTAATGAATTTTCCCAAATTCTAGACATTAACAGTAAATAGACAAGGTTTAACATATGATTAAGCACAATTAACAGTAGGTCTAATGTTGTGTAATAAACACAAATTCAGGACAAAAGTCAACTCATTAATTATAGCAATGCAAGGTGTCAGGTGATCAAAGAATGAACAAGTGAGAGAGATATACCAGGAATTTAGTTACAGCTTCCTGGATATACTGAGGAGGTCATACCAGTCATACCAGGATAATCGCTAAAATAGTACGAGCATCCGAACGAACTCTTTCTGTCTGCATAGGAGAGGGTCGGTCAACTGAATGTGTGTTGCTTCGAGCATGCTGAGATGAGTAAAGGTTCTCGCTTGGCAGAGAACTTTTTTATTTAAGGAGTACGTGTACATGTACATGTTTCAATTTGTAAATGGGACCTGCAGTTTTGAGTTTTAAGAAATTATGAATGTCTAACTTTGTTGAATTACTTACTTGCAGTATGTTTTTTATTCTTCTTTTCTCCCCCTCTCTCTCTCTCTCTCTCTCTCTCTCTCTCTCTTTCTCGCTCTCTCACTCTCTCTGTTTGTCTGTTTGTCTCTCTCTTTTATAATGTTTATAAATAGTTTTCTGTAAGAATTTTCTTTTGGAGTGGATATATCTGGTACATCAATTACAGATATAAGTAAGTTTGCAATATTAGCAGTATCATTTTCTGAGTACCAGTAGATTGTTTTTATGTTATTGGTCACATTTTATTTTCCTTAATGGTATTTCTATTCAGAATAACTGCAAGATGTAGAAAAGTTCTCGCAAATTTCAACATGTCATGTGACGATGTAAGTATTATTTTTTTACCTTCCTTTACATTTATTTTTCAAGAGCATACTAATAATTATACTTCAGTTGGAAGTGGTCAGATTCAACAAGTCAGATCACATCTCAGCACATGTTGATAATGGGCACAGATTTAAGAATTAGATTTATTTGTTTATTCATTTATGTTTATTTATTCATTTTATTATATTTAATTATATTTTATTTATCAATTTATTAGGGGTGATTATGAGATATGAGAGCTCCTATGCATGGTGGCCCTCAAAAAATACAAAAGCCGAGATCTGTAATTTTGTGTTTTATTGGGTAGAAACTTCTTTTCCAAGTGCAAATAATACCAAGATTATCAAATCTGGGTGAGGAATTTTTTATTCTAGTGCTCTTTTTGTGAGGCAATGTCATTGTCACTTTCAGAATCTGTTACTTTTGCAACCTTAGTCAAACTTGAAGCAGGGGGAAATCTGTGAATGATGGCTACACATATGATTCAATCAGCTGTGTTGACTGATCTCTCTCTGAAGATAAAGACAAAATGAAGTGAACAGGGGCTTTCATTATGCAACATAGGGATATTATTTGTTGGCTTGTTTTTATTTCTGCATTTTCAAAATAAAACCATTATGGGAAGCCATCAGGCAGAATTTTGTCGCTGCATCTATAGCATGCCTACGTTTGCAAATGTACAAGTTGCAAATTTTGAAAGTGTCATTTCCTCACAGAAAAGCCTTGGATAAACTTATTTCATCAAAATTGATGATCTATATATCATCTTGCTTGGAAAAGAATTTCCTACTCAAAACAAAACTAGCAATGGCATTTTGTCCATGATGTCGTTAAGATTACAGATCTCAGGTGTTGCATTCTCTTTGGGTCCCCCTGTATGATATAAGTAATATATGATGGTTTTGATTTGTTTTTTTGCAGACTGGAAAGCTTATTTTGAAGCCACCTAGTGCTTGGAAAAATAATGATAATGATAATAAGATCTACTACTGCTACTCCTACTAATCCTACTATGCTTTATAATTTAATATGAATAATAATATATGATGGTTTTGATTTGGTTTTTTTGCAGACTGGAAAGCTTATTTTGAAGCCACCTAGGAGTAGGAGTACACCCTACAGACCAAACACTCGATGGCCTAATGACCAACAGTCTGATCAAACCACTCATCAACACAACCAATGATCTACCAACCACACCTAGGTTTGCTATTAACACTGTGATACAACTAAGTGCAGTCTTGTTTCTGTGGTAGAGTGAATGTTTTTGTATCACAAGATTATCGTCTGTTTGGAGTCAGGATGGTATTAACTTTATATCTATTGAAATATATGAGTTAAAAGCTAATCTTGAGCTCTGGTATTGGAATCATATTTTGAGAGAAAATTGCTATTATTAGTCTGGATTGTTCATTTTGCAGTAGATTGGTTGTTTGAACCAGTGAAATAAAAACAAACACACCTTACCACAACCTAACAACTTACCGGCATCATCTTAGATTTCTTTTTTAAACCACTCCCATTTGCACATAGTGACCCTTGTGTCAGGTCTACTTACCAGGATTTTTCTTATCTTTCTATGCTTATTTCTCGGCCACTAGATTTTCTACAAAATCTGTTTGGCACATGTCATTTATTTGTAACTTGAACATTTAGTGCAAGTTTTGTTAGATTATGTGAGAATTTATTTTCTTTATTTACCAGAACTCAAGCTTATCTTAAACCTCCTCCTGACTCTCACCAAAGGGTGTGCATTGCAATAGTTTTTCAAATTCTTTTACTCTAGAATCGTAGCCAGCAAAGGATTCATCACCTCAAGAAGTCTTCTTTTCATGCTGTAATGTTTTACATTTGCTATGATTCACATGGAGTTTTAGTAGTTATAAATAAATTTGCCAGAAATGAATTTGGTTACATAGCAAGACACACAAGGTATGATAAGACTCAACTCTTTCCTTTTTGAAAGACATTTCATGAATAGATGGCTAAATGATGATCAATATTTGAATGATTTAATTAAATAGTGTATCATGTGGCGTATATAAACTGAATATACTTCTTTCATTATCTCTGTATAGTTGTTATATTGAAATGTATTCATGTTGAATATCTTATGAGCTGCTAAACATGACACTATCTTTGTTTTTGTATCACCTGAAACCCCCAACTGCAATCGTTTACATGAAATCTATCCAATTTAAAATCTCTTCTTAACATCTATTTAAAGTCTCTTGGTAAAATGAATTAATTGGACAAGGGGTGTTGATATGGCATCAAATTGGTTTTGTCATTTAGACTTCAGCATAGTCACACTGTGTACATAGAATTTGTGTGCATCAGAATGTGTCATTCGTTTTTGATACAGATGCATGGAAAACAATGAACTGTAAAGCAAATTGTTTGGTTGGGTATGAATTTAATAAAATGCCTTAAACCCTTTAAAAAAAAAGGCTTGATTAGGTGATAGATTGGATGAACATCTCATGCTAAGAAGCCCAAACATTTAAATGACATGGTGCATGGTTTGTTTACCTGACTGCTATTCATGAGTATGCTCTTAAATCAACCAGGGGACCGACGGCTTTAAGTCCTCTCCAAGGGACTTGGTAATAAAGATTAATGCCATTCTAAAGGGCACTAGCGGATTGACTTACAAGACCACTGCTCTACCACTGAGCCGTCGCTCCTCCATGAAAAGTTCGCCGTGTAATGTTGTGAATTTTTCAATCATTCATTGATTAACTACCAAAAGTGCAAGTTATGTTGTATTTCAGCATTGCAATAATTATACATTTGGTAATTGGAGCAAACAAATAGCAAGAGTTAGTCAGGCTTGGCGCTGTTCAATATACCATAATTTATGACAATAAACCAATCACTAAGAGTAAACATTAAATCATAAAAAATTAGTTTGGGTTTGCGCTAGTTTTTGTTTGTTATGAAATATAAGTTATATAACTCAAATGTATATACACAATGTGTATTAACACTATTTACACACTCTAAGTGAATTTTTTACAATAAATGCATCAATAATTAAAATTAATTAGATTATATTCTTCAAGATCTGTTTCAAATATATGTCTAAAGCTTCTTCTTGATGAATATTTGAAACAGAGCATTCCAAATACATGCACCAGAATATGAAACGGAATGTTTTCCTATGTTTGTTTTTACTTTTATGAGACTAACATTCTGATTTTCATTACTTCTTGTTTCATAAGCATATTGTCCAAATGTAAAATAATCTATATAAAAATGAGGAAGTTTGTTATTTAATAGATCATGGATAAAGATTGTAACCATGAGACAATATTGTTTGAATACAATTATACAATTGTTATTTTTAACTCCTAAAAAAAAGCTAAATGGTGAACGTAACATTTCTGTTTTATTTGTATTGTGAATGAAAAGTGTATGAATAATTAGTGAGAATTCAGTTTCATATAAAACAATGAGGAAGTTTGTTACTGAAAAGATCATGGATAGCGATTGCAACCCTGAGATAATATCCTTTGAATAAAACTAATATTTTTAATTCTTAAAAAAGGAACTGAATTGTGAATGTAACATTTCCTTATTAATAATTTGTATTGTCATTGAAACTGTTGAAAGTATATAATGTCCCTGTCTTATAAAGAGTATGGCTGATCCAAATCAATTGTAAGTCCTCCAATCAATGGCAAGTTTGCAGACTCCTATCTCTTATGTACATATGTACATTGATATCAATCACAAATAAGTTGCGATTGATATCAACTCTTTATAAGACGGGGGCCCTGGAGTGATCAAGAGCCATCGACTTTTGATCACTCCTGGGCCTCTGTCAAGTTCTAGGAAAGGTGACAAATATTGTTATTTTCATTCTTTTTATGTTATAGTGTGGAAGAGTAGCATAGAAAAATGTTCAGTAAAAGGGATGGCTCTTCAAATGTCCTCTCATTTGAAATATGACAAGTAACAGCTAAAGGCTTTCATCCACAGTACATGTGCCTCTTAGCAAAGGAGAGCTAATTTCTTATCAATTTGATGATTCCAAAACCTCACAATGTACACTACTACATACGTGCTAGCTACATGATCAACCTTTCCAATAGCTTCCACGGTCCACCGTTTCTTTCTTATTGCAATTGCATGATCAGAACTCGACTTTATCTTGATAATCGAATGGAGGATAACATGCAATCAATTTTTTTCAAACGAGCACTCTTTCTATTGATTAGAGAATAATGCAATCCTTTGTGTACATGTATGATACTTTGAGGTGAATATATATATGTATAAAATTCCTGTTTTAGTTCTTCATTAATGTTTGTTATGATGTATATTGTATTAAAGCTACCAAGCAATGGTAAACGAAAATACAACTTATCTTCTTTTTCCAATTTTTGAGCTGTCTTTGCAATTTAACTCCCCTCCCCCCCCCCCCCCCCCCACACACACACACCTGGGAAGAAAGCATTCATAAATTTGTAAAAATGACTTCAAGTACGTCACATTGTCAAGTAAATGGAGATGGCCGTTTCGTGCTGACTGCTGACAGAGTTTACATTACGCTACAAATATCTTGCTTTATACCTTTCTTCTGCAATTTGGTGGGGATTCTTAAAAATAAATAGGCAGGAATACAATTAACCTCTCAGAATAAGTAAAGTTATTGGGGGGGGGGGGTTAGGTTTCCTTTAAAATTGTTTACATTACTAAAATGGCCAATTTGATTGATTTGTTTTTCTAAATCTGCGTTTTCACAAATTCAACACGTAACAAGGGTTAGATTGATATGAGGGTGTCACAGTGTATACAATAACAACAGACAAATCAAACCATACACAACTGTTTTCATAGAAAAGTGCAAATGATAAATTTATTTGCTCATAATGAATATCCAATCTTCACACAACTCTCATAATCTGAAGATGAGAGAATTAATTCCCATTAGCCTACTTGTGTAACAAGGTCACAACAGACTGAACTAAACTTTCAAACAGAACAGAACCAACTGGTATGCTCATTTCTAAGGCACAAATACAGAAGTCAGTAAATATGACCAGGCAAAAAAAATGGCACCAAAAATAAACACACGCCAAGATAGAGATTAAGCAAAGTGACAATACAGTAATAAGTATAGTGCAGGGTATTTAAGACATATGTGGTCAAACTTCATAAAACTGTACATACGACAGGTAAAATTAAAAACATGATATAAATGTAGTAGTGAGCAAAAAAATTATGAATACTTTCATGAACAGCTATAATTTTAATTAAGAATAAATACAAACAACTGAAGACACCAACATTAATATGTCAAAATTGATGTACAGTTTTCATCACTGTATAAATACTAATTTAAGTATTGGTTACATCATGTTTATAATAATCATAGGAGCATATTATATCCAAACGTTTTATGATGCAAAGGAAATCATCCTTAATATAATTATTGCTAATCTCATCTGTATTCATGAAGCTATCTCATTTCCAAACTTATTTTACTGAGTGTATGAAACTGTCTGCTAAGAACTAAAAGATAATTAAATATATTGACAAATATACAAGTTAATGTCCTAGCTCCTATGAAATGATACATATTACCTTGGCCTTTGAATCAGATTCCTCCTTATTGACATAATATGTGTCACCTTTATTTCCCTTTAAAAAAATTATACCGGTATATATTTTCAACATTGCAACTAAGTAATGTTTGTATGTATCAGTCTTTGGACTGCTTTTAAAAGGATTTTTCATTCAATAAACCAAAACGAATGAATGAATAGTAACAGTTACTGCAAAGAGCTTGGGGAATCATTTATTGAAAGACGAAAAAAATGCTATCCTTTTTTTTTCTTCAATATATTAACACCAGTAATTTGTCTAAATAATGGCCATAGATAAAACAGTGGTCAGTGGAACATCATTGCAACAACAAACTCTTTTATATTAAAAATAAAATAATAATAATAATCTTTTAAAGTCCACTCCAAATTTTAATAAGTTAAACCGAAAATGGAAATTCTTTTTGCCCAATTGATCGTGAGCCCGGCAGCCACTGAGCAGCGCCAGATCGACGTTGCTCTATCCCTTATTGTTGAATGCCAAACAAGGTAGCAGCAACTCCCGTCTTTTAACGTCTTTTGGTATGACGCGGCCGGGGTTCGAACCCACGACCTCCCGGTTGTGAGGCGGACGCTCTACTAACTGAGACAACACACCGGTATCTAGGGCTCTTAAAAAAAATGTAACAATAATGATAGTGATAAAACAAAAGAATACAAAGACATGTGACCAGCAAAATTACCTTCTTAAAGCAAGAGTTTATAATGCAACAAATTTACCTTTGGACCAATAAATTTGAATTGAATTTACATGTTTTGTTTTTTTAAATATCAATTACTGTATACATGTATTGAAGTAATATCCTATATATATTTCAATTGTGTGATCCTATACAAGTAATAATTTACATGCATTCCTACACACGATACATGTTCTCTTTCATACATGATAAGATTAATGTATACATCTGGTACACACACTGCTATTTACATTTTTTTAAATCTGTAAAAATATATACAAACATTTTTATTCCAAAAGATGGAAGATAAAGAACTCTCCAACTTGAAGTGTACCAATCGCCTAAAATCACTTCACTCCGTTAGTTAAGATTCCTCGACGCTATAATAATATACTCAAAATAGAAGCTTCAAATATGAATTCAATAAGAGATACATTGTATTGCAAGTTATGTACACTCTCAATTTACCCCGACCCAAGTCCTAAATGGGTTCTGTGCTTCAACTGGAGTTCCGTTTATGTTAACCGTGTACTTTATTCATACTCCTTTAGCACATACTTGTACATGTATATTGCTGGGTAAAGTTTTTTTGAGGTTACTTTTATACATGATTGTATAACTGACACATTTACACAACTTATTTTCATAGGTGATTGGTACACCTTCAGTAAAGTGGGTGCTACAGATTTAGTAAAAAGAAAGCATTACTTGCTGGTAAATTCTTTTGTCAGATTTTTGTTTCGGTATCATGCGAAATTGATTAAAGGTGTCGAATGGCAAATAATGACCTAATATCTCAATATTTCTCAAAAGAATTCAAATGTTTATTGCAAAATTGGTATTTATTACCACATTTAGAAGGAAAAAAAATATTGTTTACACACTGACGCATCATTATTTTACTGGTAGTAGAAATATTCCAAAAAATTTTTAAGCAGATATATATATATATATGACAATATACATATACACATATCTATGGACAACTTCAAACACATTTTTATCGGGAAATGCTTGATAGTACTACATATATCTACCTGGAATATTCAAGTCCATTTTGGGGTGGTTTGGACTGTGGAATATTGTTAATCAGATTAATAACATTGACTGCACATCAAGCTTTCACTTAAAATCATCAGGTGGTGTGGTATGTGATTGTCCCCTCACATAAACTCCCACAGGATAATCTTTAATTGAATAACATCCTCAGACAGCAAGCAATGTAATAAGGTAACTCATTCATCCAAAGGCATCAGTGTATTGACTTGCACTGAATTACACTTTTCTACACAACTACTGAATTATGTTTCCCTGATCTGTATAACCTGATCTGTGTAACTAGTTTGTGTCGAAAGAGTGATTTATCTCTCGTAATTCTCAATCTAGGTTTCACAGTGCATTTTATAAACACACTATCAGAAGTCAATGCCAGATTGACTTTCCTTTTTGTTTGTTTTAGTCAAGTATGTAATAGGCAATCAAATTAGATAATAAACTTTGATAATCTATACAAATATAATATTTTTACATTTCTATTAAAAAAAATCCAACCTTGATATCAAAGAACTCTAGAAGAAAGCAGAAAAATCGGAGAAGCAGATTGGTGAAAGTTTCAAAGAAATCAAGACAAAATATGAGGAAGTTATGAATTTTGAAAGTTGCAATAGCTATAGGTATTTGCTCTTCAAATTGACGGAATCGGTAATGTCGTGGCAGATAACTTTTTCCATTTGTTCAAATATACAAAATGACTAAAATGTCATTTTTTCCAAATTTTATGACTCAGGTGGATCTTTTCTCTTTTGAGGAACTATAATAATATGCTATCCATAGTATATTTTAAGTAGTGGTCCCAAGGCAGAAGGCATTTAGGAGAAAAACAGAAATTAATGATTATTTTTGTACTCTTCAAATGGGAGAGTTGTCTGTGTCTACTACACATTCCACAGACCAAATTTTTCAATTTGAGATTCGCACTTACTAAGTGATTTCATATGTCAAACATTCATACTTCTCTTATGATTGGTCATATTAGATATGTAGCATGGGGGCATGCTACAAGAGTCCTATCTCACACCCCGGGGCAACGTGTCTTGACACGACCGGTTGTAGCAACTACTCCGAAGATCAAGATACATTAATCTTGATCTAAGGAGACACGTACGAACGATTGGTCAGATTTATTTCAAACATTTACCATTCTATCATTCTTATTTTTCTGCTGTCACAAACTTATTACAAGGGTTAGATTACCCCTTAAAAATGCACTGGTTAGTAGTGAAATATTAGTACATGTATGTTTATAACTAGGGTTCTCTATACTTGATCTTATCAAGTTAATAATATTTTTCTTATCTATATTTCAAAAAGCGTCCTTCCCAGACATAGAAATATGAATCAAACCAAGCAAGCAAGATAATGACTCTCATAATTTGAGGGTCACTTTTGACTTTTTTTCATTTTATGTGTGTGTTTTGCCCCCTACACTCTTCTCTTAAAAAAAAGGCTTGAAGTAGAAAAACATTGCAATTACTGACACAGCATCAGTCATTATAATTATGTACATGGCTAAAAGTGTGCATGCATATACAATAGAAATTAGAAAATACTAAATGCAATTTTAGTTCCAGTTAACACCTGGTGGTACCACTTCACGTTGACTTTGTGTGTTAAAAGTTAGTCAGACATTTTGCATAAAAGGAGTAATGGGATGGGGGGGGGGGGATATCAAATTGTTCAGAGATTAGAAACACAGTGGTTGTTTTCCTTTTATTTTTAAGTACCGGGTAAGAAGTCTTCGCTCCCTTTTTAATGAGAAAAGGGGATATATTTTAGTATTAAAATGTTCTTGTGAGTATGCAAAGAGGGGATCCTATTTTACTACGCTTATATATTAGGTCTTTGAATATGAAGAGACATCAACCAGAACACCTCCTATACACCCATTTGTCAAGGATAAGAAGTTAATGCATAGCTCATATATAATGCTGATCAGTATACCACAAAAATATATACTTAGTTAAGCTTATTCTGATGGCATTAAATCAATGCTAAGTAATTAGTAAAAGGTATTGTTTTCCCTGTGTACTTAGTGCAACAATCAACAAGTTTGAATACAGACTGGAATTATAGTTGACAATGATCCTCCACATACCACTCAAAGGGCTTAGGTATGCATCATGAAATCACCTCTTTACCTATATATCTACAACTTTTTAAAAAACTTTGAGAGGTTCTTCCGATTCCACAGCAATAATCTAAACACGCCTTGTGACCAATGATACCTACAGGACGTACATGTATACACATTCCCTATAGGATGGGTGTGACCCATGTCTGATGTAGGAATGTACGATACATAATTACAGAGGAGAGATCTTCATCTGTTGAGGAAAGTAATGGAAGATGATGGAAGACATGATATGCATTCATAAAGCTGAGATGACTAACAATACAGATACCTTCCCATACACCAAAGTCTTCATGGACCAAGTAATGACATCATCATTTGTGATCTCTAATCTTGATCACAGCTGTGAGTATATGAAACACAACACTCAACCATCCCATCAGCTGTGCAACTCTCAAAGCAATCTTCTCCAATTTGAGTGATACGCTGTACAAGGTCTCTCCTCAAGTAGTGCTGATCCTGTTTGAGCTTGGTCTGTATGAATGCAGGTTCCCTGAGCTGGAGCTGAGGTTGTTGATCAGTCCATAGTGAGATATAATAGTATTGCGGCTGTCAGGATACATAATAAACCACCACACATTGCCCATTTCAAATGCCTCAGTGGTCTCTCATGTGGAATCTGGCGAGTAAAACAAAAATAAAGGTACATGTATGAATATTGTTTCTATTTCAATACAATTCAAAGCAACAAATGAAGAGGAATTCAAAATAAATATCATATTGACATACATGTACCGGTACACATAAACCCATAGGGCAATTCCACGGTAACGGAAGGACACTCAGACAAGATTTTTGAACTTCCGGTTCATACTAAAAGAAATGTTTTATTAGTATGTATTAAACTATGGGGAACAAAATGTGTTTCAGTCAAGTGGAAAGCTTCATCAACTTCACAAAGTTTGGATAAACACTAATTAACTGGAAAAACCATGTCCATTTTTATGTCCTTCCGTTACCGAGATAATTAATATGCACATTCTTAAACTACTTAACTATAATGACAATTTTTTGGGGGAGAATTAAAGGCACTTATATAGGTATTATATCTGTACTGTTTCACATCTTATACTAATAAAACAGTTCTTTTAGTATGAACCTGAAGTTCAAAAATCTTGTCTGAGTGTCCTTCCGTTACCGTGGAATTGCCCCATAGTAGTACAGTGTGTGACGCAGGGTTGGCAATATTTTCTGATCCAAAATGCTAGAAACTACATTTTATACACGAGTAACAGTCACAGAAAATAAATTTCTAATGCAGTACATTGTGCCTTTCAGGAATAAGCAATTTAATTGTTACTAATTATTAAATTCTCTTAATTGGAATACATTTTTCTTTCATTTTTTCCATTTTCTTCCAAACTGGAATGGATATTTACTATAGACCCCTATATATTTTTACTTTAAAAAAAAACTTTGTAGGAGAAGAAAATAAGAATTTGTGTCAATTTGAGGAGTGAAGGTTGATTAATTTTGACCTTTAAAACAAATCTGAATTGCTATGGGATAAACAAAACAGTATGCAAAACCCTGTAGCCTTTAAAAGCTTAAACAATAAGGAAAAAAAATAATTTCACACACTTTCAACTGTGTATTTTTATTACATAACAGTAACTGTATTTATTGTACAACTTAATTTAGAAGCTTGAAGGTAAGGCCTAAAAAAAAAAATTGATGACTTGGCGTAACGGGTCACTGAAAATTAGGGTAGGTAGGGCGTTTTTTTTTTTTTTTTTTTGTTGTTGTTGTTGTTGTTGTTGTTGTTGTTGCTTATATTTGCATACATGAAATTAGCCATTCATACACATACATACATACATACAGTGGCGTAGATAGGTCCTCAGACCTTGGGGATGATCTGATGAGAGGGGTAGACCACAATATGTTCAAATAACTCCACGCACACACACACACATATATGGACACACACATATATGGACACACACACTGTGTGAGCAAAGTGAGCAAGAAATTGTTGAAATCTTGATCACCTTGGGACCTGGGGGATGCATACATACACCTGCCCCCCCCCCCCCTGCATACATACATGTACATGTACATACACCCTCATGCACATAAAATGCAAACATACGAACGCATAATAGGTTTCCAACAGACCTCGGCGCGCGAGCTGGCCCAAACACGGCGCGGCAAAGCCCAGAACGAAAGCAACAAACATCCGGGTTTTCCCCACTGCAATATCGATATTTACGCAATCACAATCGGATAAAAAAAAATAAAAAAGCGTAGGGTCGGCGATAAAAATAGGGTCGGGTGGGTTACGCCAAGTCATCAATTTTTTTTTTTAGGCCTAATGGTGAGAAGAGAAAGTTTTGAGGGAAGTTCTAAATTAATATTATCTTTCAAATGCAGTTGGAATTTAAACCTTTTCATTTTGGGGCTGCAAATGGGACATATAACCTTTAATGCATACATGTTTGTATAGATGTATCCTAATATGTTATAGCAAATAAGATGAATTACAAATAAGAATCTTACTCTTTTCGTTCTCTCACTCTCCATAGAAAATTCAGACCAGTTGACTTGAGAAGGCATTTGCTTGACGCCTAAGACCCTCTGAACCTTTGGTGTGTTTCTCTGACGTAATCTTGTTCTCTGTGAGATTGGCGTTGATTCTGTTGTTTGATTCTGTCCCTTGGTTCTCTGCTCAGCAGCCATGTTTTTCTTGTAGTCACTCAGGATCTCTTCACAGTCAAGAAGGTTTTCTTCTGGTTCCCATGTATCTTCCATTGGGCTGAACTCTTTCCATCTAATCTTGTATTCTATTTCTCCATCTGCAGTCTTTCTGGAACCCAAAATTTCTTGTACCTATGTACATATATACAAAATATCAGTAGACTAATTAAAGGTATCAATCAGCCATTTGTTTGTACATCTAGAATGTATACCGGTAATACAAATTATGTGGTCTTTTAAGGGTTAATGGCTGGAGGTTATGATGAAAATAAAGGACATTAAAATCTAGGCACAGAACAAAAATCAGACCTGGTTATCGAGTTCCAGCTTTTTCGCTATGAACAGTCACCTTTGTAAATCATTATGAATAATTAGAATGCACATACAGTGAAACAAAAGACCACACAAGGGAGACAGGAAAAGTGGTCTTTATAGGCAGGTGGTCTTTATGTACAGGTTCCTTTAATTCATGTTCAATGTTCAATGAGAAACCATTTTCAAGAGAAAGTGGAAAAGAAAATGTGATCTTTGTAGACAGGTGGTCACTAAAGCGGGTTTGACTGTACAAGTACTGCAGTAATACAGAAAAGAAGACACTGGCACCAATTCCATGGAGTACAACCCTCGCAGCAAAATGTGCAAAATATTGAAGATTTAGCTTACAAAAGAACGAAGATACAAGGCATTTTTCTCAGCCAAAATTTCGCCTCTTCTATGCTATTTGGTACTCGTCAAAAGCCATTTCAGCAACTAAACAAGGATATTGTGGTGTGGTGTCTCTCATAGTGGTCACGATTGATTAGTGCAGCGTGCATATGTATACATGCAAGTTGTGCTAGGTTAGCGTTAGGAGCCCATCGGTTTTGTGTGTGGATCATAACAAAACTGTTTCGGTAATTATAAAAACCTAGAAGATTGTGGATTTTAATAAACGGTGAAAAGGAGTTATTTTTCATGAGGAATTAATCTGCTTACCGGTATCTTATTTTCATTTTGAGCCAAGATAATCCCTTTGTTATGATCCACACACAAAGCCAACGGAAATGGTGCAACACTATTGACAAATGAGTATTGTGCATGCTTTGTCCTGGGAGACTACCCTTGTCACTGTCGATCAGCGCACATTTAAGCAGCAAAGTCTAGACTAGCCTACAGCATCTACGCTAGACCGAATTTTCCGTCTCTTTCGTTTGTTAAGCCTCTTATTTAGGTAGGGTCGGCTCTCTCTTGAGCCGACCCTACCCCAATAAGAGGCTAACGAACGAAAGAGACGGAAAATTCGGTCTACATCTACTCCTACTAGACGGCATTGTTCATGGTTGATCTTCCAGTCACCAACTTCATACCATTACCAGTTGATGGTCTATAATTAAACCCATGCATGGAAATCCACAACATTTACAGAATACAGGTCCCATTTGCTCAAACTCTGCTATTCCAAACCGCATTCTACCCACTCCAGCAAAGCATAGAAAGTCAATGCCAATGCGTATTGACCTCTAGCACTGCATACATGCTGTGAGGCAGGGACCTAGAAGTCTATACACAAATACACACACCACACAATATCGCATAGACTGTACACAATCATGTCGATGCAGCTGTGAGCAAAGTTTGACACTAGACTTACAATTTGAATGTTTAAATTATTCTTTTTAACATCAGTAAGTTGAAAAAATGTATTTTACTGCTACTTAGGTGTCATCAATTGTCACGTCAGTAGTCGTACACAGTTTGTTTCATTAAATGGGATTGCATCGAGTGTCAAGCCTGTCACGTGCGGTGTTCCTCAGGGATCTCTTTTAGAGCCTCTACTATTCATAACATATATAAATGATTTCAAATTTTCATCCCAACTATTGTCATTTATACTATACGCAGATGACTCAAGCATATTTTATTCTCATCAGAATCCTCAAATTCTTGTTGAAACTGTAAATTCAGAACTTGAGAATATTGCACAATGAATTTTTGCGAATAGACTGTCACTGAACTTGGACAAAACTTATTTCATACTATTTAGCAATTCAATCTCCGATTTACCTGGAGATATCTATTTCAACAATGTTAAAATTAAGAAAGTAAAATCGACCAAGTTTCTTGGCCTGTTTATCGATGATTAAATGTCCTGGAAAATACATACAAATTATTTGTGTTCATTACTATCAAGAAATGCAGGTGTGATATACAAACTGAAACATATGTTCCCATCATATGTATTGCAAATGTTGTACTCCACTTTAATGTTGCCCTACTTGAACTATGGTATTCTTGCCGGGGGTAGTTCATTGAAACTTCAACTGGACAAAATCCTGGTTGTTCAAAAAAGAGCAATACAAACAATTTGCAATGTACCTATTCGTACTCACTCGAGCCCTCTTTTCTTTCATACTAGAGTACTGAGAGTTTGGGATATTTTTAATTTACAATTAGGCTGCCTCATGTTTCAGCTGAATAACAATGAACTGCCCCAGGCACTATTTTATTTGTTTAAGAAAAGAAATCAAGTCCACGAATATTCTACCCGACAGGCGTTTTCCTATCACCTTCCTAGAACGAGAACAAGCTTTGCTCAAAACACCTTAATATATACAGGTCCTAAGTTCTGGAATTCTCTCAATTCTGTGATTAAAAGGTCTGTAAGTGTACATGTATTCAGAAGAAAATTGAAAAGTTATTATTTGAATACATATTGTCATTCCTGATTCCTGACTATTCTTGTCTCCAAACTGTATACTTTTGTTCATTACAGTAACTAACGGTATGACCATACCAACTATGTTTATAATATACTCATATCGAGAACAAACTACTAGTATATTGTAATATTGCTTCAATAAGCTGCAGATATATTCCCTTCCCTTTTCCTTGTCTTTTGTACATCGGTTCATGTATCCCTGTAATCCCCCTTTCCCTGTTTTAGCGTGTATTTGTATTTTATAAACTTTACTTTAGTTAATTATGTCATTTTTAGTTCAAGGAGCCTATCCACAACAAACTCTGCTTTTTCATAGGCCACTTTATCTCTTAAGTTAAACTTAATGGACAATATTCTAAATAGTGTATACCGGTATTGTATGTACATGTATGAAATAATCATTTTCAATATGTTGTTACACTCTTTGTAAAATGAGATATTGTGGAAACCAATAAACTATCTATCTATCTATCTAAAGTACCAATTTTTAGTGAAATCAGTTGAGTTTTGTACAGTGGTGTTTGAAATGTTGAGAATCAAAAGCACAGCTTTTACTACACAGCCAGGATAGTGATGCTCCTATGTGTGATTCTACCCAGATGCTATCAGTATCACTCACTCGACTTTAGTTACCATCTGCTGTCATCAATTGCACCTTTTTGGAACTTTTCAAGTGAAGGTTGAAGGTGCAACAGCAACAAATTCACAAATAATCATCATTAATTAAGCTCTGCAAGTCTGCTGAGGTTCAGCCTGTTTTTACAAGCTGCTCATTGATTATCTGTCATCGTGTTGTTGCTGTTTGGTTTGTTTGTAGATTAATTTCCTGTTAAGTTAAATTTGACTAGTCTAGGTCTAGCCTCTAGGGCCTACAGGTAGACCTATTTAAGCCTTATCTATAGATCTACGTGAATCTGGGCTAACTCGCCCTATGGGACATCTCGCCCCAGCCTCAAAGACTAGGGCGAGATGTCCCGACATGATTCATCGGTCGAGAGATAATTTACGGCCAGGACGGAAGAATGTGAACAAACATCAGCCATCTCGTCTAAAATGTAGTAGATCTAGACATTCGACTTCTCAAAAAACGAAATTTATATCAGGAATCAAAAATAGACCTTCATACATTATGAAAATGATATTTTTGCAGTGATTTACTGACAAAAACACTGATCGAATTTCAGTGGTTCGTATCGATACAACGCAAATTTAATGCACGTGCGGCGATGCGAATTGCGAGCTGTGAGTAAATTGTCCAAAATGCCATCTTTTTGTCATTTTACCTAAAGAGAAGATATAGATTGTCTTCAATAGTATCAATTGACAAAATTCCATTACAGATTGTGGTTGGATATGGCATTATTAAGTCACAGTGAGCACAAACATATACACATTTGTTTTCTCGATTGATGAATCATGTCGGGACATCTCACCCCAGTCTTTGAGTTTGACTCTGACTCTGAGGCTGGGGCGAGATGTCTCGCGGGGCGAGTTAGCCCAACTCCATCTAGATACGTACCTGATCTAGTTCTTCAGTTTTATCAATCTACATCTACGTCTATGCTGGTACTCGTCAAATGCCCTTTTCAGCAACTAAACAAGGATATTGTGGTGTGGTCACTGCATTGCATGTGCAGCATGCAGCGACAAAATCGAGCATGAAGTCGCCCACGCGCAGGCCACCGGCCATCGAATGCTAGCAAACTAGTCACGGGGCCGGGCCCGCGATACGGCCGTTTGCGGTTTGGGTCAGCTTAAAACATTCACCATGCTATTCATGATTGACCACCATGTCACGTTCACTGCTGCTGCTACATTTGTTTTAGGCCAAGTTAGCTTTGATAATATGCGTCAGACCTCTTCAGTTAATATTTACCTTTCTCTTATTAAAAAAATTATCCTAAGCATATAGAAAACATAATAAACCTACCTCGAATGTGTCACCCATAATGAAATTGATTTCACAATTACCGCGTCGCAACGTCTCGTTTTTACAGTTTGAATCACAACCTCGTCTCCACGGTATACACCGTACGCCAACAAGTTACTGATCCTCCTCCCAATCCTATCCTTTGTCCCCTTCCCCTGTTCTCCCTCTCCCCCATAATAGGGGACTAAGGGGAGTTACTATAAATAAAAAATGAGCCATGCTGCTATTTGCGCATACATTATGTACACATAGATCTATATCTAAAAAATAATCAAGTTGTTCTTGATATGAATGTGATCAGACGAAGCCCCGTTGATAAGTTGTTTGATTCAATAAAAAATGATTAAAAAAAAAAACAGCAACTGGGGATTGGGCTTGAGGGATGCTGCCACCCCCCTCCCCCCACAATACCACACGTGAAATGTAAACAAATGGGACGGAAAAGAGAGAGGGGAAAGCAAAGAAGAACAACAACATTAATACAAAAGGAAGAAAGGAGGTGAGAGAAAAGTATACAGGAACAAAAGCTACGGTTTCACGCCTTTAAAAAAAAAAATTCCTGCCTTTTCAAATTCTTTAGTTCTTTTTTAAATTATACCATTGCTTCAATTATGTGTACAAGGCGCGTACGTAGGGGGGGGGGGGGAGATTCGGGGGTTAAACCCCCGGCCCTTCAGTTTTGTGTATGTGTGTATTTTGTTGCAAACGGAGAGCTCTTCAGGGGCTCAGGCACGTATAGCCACAGGGGGGGGGGGGGGGGGGCACGGGGGGCACGTGCCCCCTAAAATGTCCAGGATCGGTTGAAATTTTGTAGACCTTTTTTTTTTTTACCTCGATCGATTACATGTATGTGCCCCCCCCCCCCCCCCCCCCCCCAAACATCAAACTCTGGCTACGTGCCTGCAGGTGCTATGCCGGGGCTGTATTTAAGCGTTTTGTATGAAAGGTCCATCATAATGACTATTTGACCCCCAAAATGATCCATGATCTTACATGTTTGATAGAGCCTTTCAACTCAATTTTGAAAAGAGCCCTTTGACAAATATGAGATAGTAACAAAGCATGAGGAAAACATAGCATCAGAATTTCTCAATGACTGTAACACCCTATAACTATATGCAAAAATATATTAAGGGGGCTAGGGCAGTAATTGTGCCCCCTACGAATTCAAGCCGATAATACTTGACTTTTCAATCACCAAATCGTTGTTAAATAGTCATTAATCGTAAATATTTTTAAAACACTTTCTGCTTAGATTTATTGTTTAGATTGTAAAGCAAAACTTAATTAAAAATGAAAAGGAGACTGCACATGGCGAGGCAGGCCTATACATGAGTATACCTGTACAACTATATTATATAGGTAAACTCCAATAAACAATATGTAATGAACGCCCTTTTTTCACGACTCAAATTCATCTGCCAGACAAATCAATACAATTTGCATGTAATAAGAATAACGCACCTGTCCAAAAGCAATAAATATTGTCTATAATTGTGTATATATCACATCGAAAGCAAAATACATTTTAAAAGAATAGATGGACGGGAAAAGGGAACGTCCGTCTCTGATTCCTCCAAATCCAAAACTCGTATTGCGCCATCTATCGGTTACACGCCACCATGCAGGGAGCTGGAATTTTAGACGTTGAATGAAGCAGAAAATAAGAGAAACATTAATGGTGAATGAGAATCTCATATTGGCAACTTTGTCAGTAGATTGTGACGAATTCATGGACAACTCTGCCGTTTCTGTTTGTTTCTTAAGTGATTTCCCATTCACTCACTGCTCAAAATATATTATGGATGTGACATTATTATAGATCCTCCAAAAGAAAAGACCCTCCTGAGTCACACATTTTAAAGGGAAAACAATAAATCATATTTTAGTCATTTTGAGTGTTCAAACAAATGGGAAAGTTGTCCGCCACTACATTAAAAGTGACATTACCAATTCAGCCAATTTGGAGAGCCCATACCAACAACAAAAAAGCCAAAATTTTCTTGCTTTTTGTCTACCATAGTTTCATTCAAACTTTCACCATTCTATGTCTCTGGTTTTCTGCTTTCTTTTAGGTTGGATTTTCCTTTAAAATGCCAAATAAGGCCTAAAAAATTAATGTTGTATTGCACTTCGAGACCAACCCCAAAATCTTGAAATCTACGGTCCACTTTTTAAACAAGTTTTTTTTTAAATTTTTTTTTTACTGTTTTTTTAGTTTTAAAAAAGATTTTCGACCAAAATTGTAGGTGTCATGTTTTGGCACCTAAAGGGCAATACAACATCTTCTTTTTTTAGGCCTAACATATCCTCATCTATGAAATGAAGCAAGAGGTGTTCATTGATTGATATACACGTTCCACACTGCTCTACCATTGCACAGCTCTGTCTCTCATTCTATCTCTCACTCATACCTTATAACGCAAATGAAAACTTAAATAGACATGTATATACTTTGTTATATATCCTTCATAAGTTTAATGAATTATAATGTATGTCCAAAGTTTGAAACTCGATCTCTATCAATTACATATAATATAAACAAGATAAATCAATCTGTATGGAAATTGATACATAATATTCTCATCATTGTAATACTGATTAAGCAAATCTATTCACAATGCCTGGAAACACAGAGACCACCATTTTCACTCAATATTCTCTCTAAAAGTCTTTGGCAATTAATTTATCTACATGTCACATTACTATGGACATACATACACTGTTAAACACTAGTAAGTCCATGGTTAAACACACATGTGACCACAATAGTCTAAAGACTGACATAGTCACATTCACAGGCACGATGTCAATCTAAAGTAACCTCCTTCCTTGAGTTAAGAATGTTGACATGTTAATAAATTTAAACAGAATTGTCTAATTTTTGGAACTGTCCATTTCTAAACTAGCCTATATTTTCAATTATGCTCTACAATAAAATCTTAATACATATAATACTGATATACATAGAGGCACACTTTGGTAACTGTTTTGGTTCATAAAAAGGGAACTATTGTAAGTGACATTAAAGTCGTGCATTTTTTTTCTTGAAGTGCAGTACATGAAATACTTGGGCCAGTACAATGTTCATCTGCTGAAATCATACATAAAGCGATTTCCGTTTCCTGTACCTATGCACATCCTGGACACTATATCAGGTGGTGATGCATTGTGGGACATGGATGTTGACACATCGGGACATTGTGAGCAGCAGATGGCAGTATACATTAATCTGACATCTTAAAGTACATGATATAGTTACATGTTTTTAGTGAAAATGGCAACACTAATCAGTGCTGTCAATGGGGGAGTTACTGAATGAAATCTCGATTATAGCACATGTAATACAGTAACTGCCCATTCCCACAGCTAATGAATTCCAATTATAAGTAATGTACATAGACTACTTGACATTGCTTGAGCAGAAGCAAGACTATCAACATGTTTCGAAAAGTGGTGGGCATTTTTCAACAAAAAGGACTTTTTAAATTTAGAATGTTGAAAACAGTACTTTTATGTATTGTAGAGTGACATTGGGTGAGATTGGGGGGGGGGGGGGGGGGGGATAAGTGATTAAATGTCCCCTGCTAGTTGTTGGCACTTTTGTGCAGAATATACTTTACACAAATTTACAGATTTTACAACACAAACAGATAACCATGTCTAAACATGGAACTCATACCATCATGACAAACCTATACTTCAAATATGACTATTCTCTGTAATGATAGGTATGAATAAATAAACTATGTATACTGAACTATCATTACATACATACATGACTACATGGACTTTATGTACACATATAACACTGTCCCTCCCCTACATCCCAAACATCAAGAGGAAATTGGCACATTTTAATTCACTTCATGTTTGAATTACTTCCACTGAACTAAATAATACCAGACCAGAAGAGGATCCATAAAGATACTACAACATAACATTCTACATCATGATATCATATTAAATAAAATGATTAAGTTATATATGCACATCAATATTTTACCTGTTTAATTGTATCATCACAACTCACAAGTCATTTTTTACAAAGTGCACAGTAAATCATGTAGGCCTACACTATGATGTAATGTTCAAAACTATTCAAGAGTTTATACAATTTCTTACTGGAACTTCAGTTTTTCTTCTTGATGCTCCTTCGGTAAGGGATTACTGAAATTACTCTGTCGGGTAAAGAGTTTACCATTTCCATTTTCAAACCATTTATTTCACCACTAATTAGAACACAATTGGTTTCTGTTCAACAATAGAACTTCTGTGGATGATTACATCTCAAACTCCAAGAATAAACTGAGCTTAAACTGTGCTGCTTTATATCTCACAATGTTTCTATTTTATTCAATCTTTATCAATCACAGTCTGCAGTCCCTCTAATAATGGTTTCATTTTTTACAAAATAAAATCCCAACAGTACACACAAACAATACACATTAATATCTCCAAGGAGTTCTCTCGATTGTCAACCCTATAAAATGAACAAAATAATGAGAGTGAACTTACTCCGTTTAAATAGGCATGAATTACTATGTCATATCGCTATGAGTTCACCACTACATTTGTATATGTGAATGTTTACCTGGTTTGTTTTACATTCAAACATACCTTTAAGTTGTGATTATCAACCAGAGAACATCACTATCTGATCACGGTTATATCGATTCATTTATATAATCTAAACAATTAGACATTTTGTTTAGAAAACATAATCTACATGTAATAATCCTAATAAATATTTCAATTCTATGTTCACCTTAATTCATTTGTTTTTACATGTATGTACATTTCTTAAAGAACTATAGAGATGAAATGTATAGATGATGAGATGACTAAAATCCCCAGAGCTCTGTATTAGATCAGCTTACCAGAAACACAAGGGATCTCTTCATCTTCTTCTTCAATGAGGCGATAAGACGCAGGTGGTTGTTGTCTGATTCTCAATATGGCTTTCATCCGATGAGCACAGGTTCAGCACTCAGCAGACAAACATGATTGTCGCCGCAATGTGTGTGAGTGAGCCCCTCCACTAAGTTCTTGATGCAGGCTCGGGTTCAGGGGAAAACATGCAGTCTCTTTGACAGAACCTTAACTAGGCCTGTGTGTAAGAGATTCCTACCATGCATGTTAATATGCTTCACTTCTCGCAAAGATTGTGAAAAGAATTTATTACGAGGTCAACTTCAAATTTAAAATGACTCTCAAATTCCACAATTATTCCAACCAGGGTACACTGTAGATCCCCTTGCTTATAACATCATGCCTTAATATCAAATCTGTACTCAGAAGTGTATAATATTTCAGGAATGTTTATGATAAAATCTTGATAAGAGTGACATATTGCATCTTTGATTTTTTTCCTACTTTAGCTTTTAGTGACTATCAATTTTGCCAAAGGAATAATATTATTACAGGTCAATTTGTACATGAAATCATTGTCATTTGGATGTCTTAGTCTTGCCTCCACCGTCAGAGACAGAGGGTGAGAAGAAAGAAAAAAAATCACTTGTTAAAATCTGATGAAACAACTCTGTTTTGTAATTTGGCCTTGAGCTGTTTGATTGAACACAAGATCTATCTTGGTGAGACAGGTTTGATGGGTAGATCATCTTGATCAAGATGAAGATGAAGAAGTTTTCTGTGGGTTGAGTGGAGGAAGCACACTTGGTCTGGTCAGATGATGGTCAATGCTAACTTTGGACAAAGGATGATCTTCAGTTGATGTCAAATTAGGTTGGCCATTCCTTGGTGTAACAACAGTCTGGTCATTCCTTGATGAAGATTGGTGGTTCATTGATGATAGAACAGATTGACCATTCCTTGGTGTAGACAGGACAGATTGGTCATTCTTTGATGAAGACTGGTCGTTCCTTGATGATACGACAGATTGGTCATTCTTTGATGAAGACTGGTCGTTCCTTGATGATAGGACAGATTGGCTATTCCTTGATGATCGCACAGAGTGGTCATCCCTTGATGAAGACTGGTCACTCTTTGCTGAAGACTGGTCATTCCTTGACGAAGACTGGCTGCTCTTTGATGTTGGATGTTGAGTGATACCTGGCAATGGTTTGGGACTAAGAGACTTGGTACTTTTGTCTGGTGTGGTTGAAGTCCTCCCATTCTTCCCATCCGATGTCTTTGTTTCCTGCAGATAAATACCAAATAACAATTACAAATTTTGGAGCATTGTTTTTCAGGCTTCACACACAGTATGCTCAGATTTCTTAAGGGAAGAAAAGATTTCACAGTTTAAATGTTTGATGGTTTATTTTACCTGGCTGCTGAGAAAGCACATGTACATGTTTGCTTGTAGGTAAGCAACCAGCAGCTATAAGTCCTCTCAGAGGAACTTGGTAATACTGAGTAATACCTCACCAAATTGTACTAATGAATCCACTCAGTTTTGAACCAAGGACCTCCCAGTTATGAGACCACTGCTCTACCACTGAACCATCTTGCCTCTTTGTAAAGTTTCAAGTTCAAAAAAACAATTACACAAAACACTTTCAGGAAAATATACAATAATAACCCACTTCACATATTCTCCATACTACAGAAACCACTCTGTTCCAGAAGGCCATTGGTTACAAAAAGGAGAAATAAATTCTACCTACATGTACATGTATTCATTTGTTCTCTGATGGTATTTCACACTTACTTGATGAAGGATAAATGTTTGAATCAGGTACAATCAAAAATCTTCAGTGTTTATGTTGACAAAGCATATGTTTTGATGGATACCTTGCCATACATGTACATACAGACTATCCTAAAATAGGACTGACAGTATCAAGTAACAATTTGAACCCAATGTATCTTCAAGGCATCCCTTTGCTGACGTTTCCACCTCACATTGTGACTTGTACAAATACAGGTTTTGTTGGTAAAATATGTATATCATGTACCAACTAATATCATTTAAAGCAGACAATCAATAAGTTTTGATTAATGAGATTGATTTATAATTAGATTGATTTGTCATTCCAAAGTGAGAAACCCATGAAAATCCTTCATCAGGCATAGCATAGACAAACAGTGAATAATCCCAATAATGATCTTGGAACCCTCAGAGTGCCTACCAGACTGATACACCAGTCTCGTGGTCTGTCCATCTCATGGACACTTTGATATCTTTGACATCAGAAGGCTTTAGAGAGTGACATTGTCAATCTTGTGGCTAAGTATATGCTAAATTGTTGTACTAAATTGAAAAAAATGTAGTCAAAAGTTGTTGTTTTTTAAGTCAACTAAATCCCCCAAAGCACTTGCTGCTAATGTTTTCATGATAAATAGGTAATTACCTGTACAGGCAATAATCATGTATGTCTGGGTACCATTATTTTATTCTGTTACGATCAAATGAGAGCTGTACAAACCTTCTTGATCTCTTTAGCAAGCTTGTCCAGATCTTTGGATTTAACTCTCTGTCCACGGTTGGAACGAAGAGATTTAGATGATTTGTTGGAATGATTGGACCTGGTGGAACGAGCAGAACGGCTACGAGTAGATGTGTGCTTCAACCAGTTCTGACTGATGGAACGCTGAAGATTCTTGAGACTGGATTGTGCTGCCATGGTAATGATCCAAGGATGCTTGAGAGCTTGGGTTGCAGTCATTCTCTCGGATTGATTGATCAAGAGGAGTTTATCGATGAAGTCCTTTCCTGCTGGTGATACATCCTTCCATGGCTGTAATCAGAACAAAAATATAGACTTAATAATAATAATATCAATAATAATATTCCATTCTTGAATAATGCATATCAAATTATATAACATCGTTACGCGCTTCCAAATATACATGTAGTAGCTTTTAGAAATGTTATCGCAGAGAGATGAATGAAGACATATAGTGTCAATTTAAATGTACATGTAGATTCAAAACTATAAAAAAAAGTATTAGAGTACATGTACATGCAGGCAAAAGATAAAATGATTTGGGACAATAGAGAAAAGAGATCTTTAAAAGTTAAATCTTGTCCATTCCAAGTCAATGGGCACCACTAATATGACATGTAGTTTTGAGCTTTACGTGTGCAAAACCTTGAAGCATAACAATAAGGAGCCGGAAATGGGGGGGGGGGGGGGGGGGGGCAAAACGCATTTTTGCTTTCTCCCCCCCCCCCACCCCCCCCCCCCCAAACAGAATTTTTTTTTTAAATAATAATAATAATAATAATAATAACAATTGCCCCCCCCCCCAATTAAATTTAAACATGTTTTATTTCTAATTCGATACCAGTGATTTACAAATGTTTTTTTAAAATATTTATGTTGCTGAAATGACAGGACTTTCCGTTTTTTCCCTCAATTTGTGGGGTAAATTATACTTTTGTATGCATTTGTTGGAAAATTTACCAATTCCCATATTTACAGTCAGGCAAAAAGAAATGCTTATTTAGAAGCCTTCATGTCAGGGCCTGCAGGACGGCGGCCGGGGCTCGGGTTAAGCCCCCCTCACTTTTTTGAAAAAGTATGTTAAAGAGAAAAAGAAAGAAAGAATCAGTGTTCAGTGACCTGCCAGTGTCAAAAATGAGGTATCAAAATATTCTCATCTTAGAGGATTATGTTATAGTTTGATCTTAATTAAGGGTATCTTCTTTTATCTTATTTGTTTACAGACCGTGATCATTGTTGAAGTCTACTGATTGACTGACACAAATAGCCAGATCTTATTTACATCTGACCGTAATTAAATGTCTAAAACAAAACACCTGAGCTTCCTGGACCCCAATCAGTTCCACCTGATCGTTAATACTTTCCGCAGGGCCGGCATGTAACATGTAAGAGTGGTGGTGATGCAGATTCCCCCCCCCCACCCCCCAACGTTTTTTATCATTACGCCACTGCCCCTGAAAGACGAGCCCCCTGGAATGTTTGCCCCCCAAATCCCAAACTGCTTCCGGCGGGCCTGGCCTGGTAACAATCGAATAAACTACGGGAAAGGTTCTCACGGGAGTGAAGGGGGGGGGGGGGGGGGACTGAAACCATTAAGCTGGGGAAAGCCTTTTAATTACAAGCTGGCGTTACCTCAAGTTAATTGTGTCCCCATGGCACAAAACTTAGAATGACAACCCCCTATCTAACAGAAATAAAATACCTTAATAAAAATGTAAAATAGGTAAGTGTTCTTAAATTATCTTGCAATGATAAAATATACACCTATAGTTTCAAAAAGTGTCATTGCATCTGCACAAGGTCTTGCAGTGGTCAACTATACTGTATGTTTCAAATCAATAAGGAACATGTTATTACACTTATATGCGGCCTAGGCATAGAAACTATGAAGCAGCCACAGCCTGCCTGCCTACAGGGAAAAGCATTCCAAGTCATCTATTCTTATTCAATCTATTGTTAAAACTTTTCATTCAGGGCCTTTCTGGAATATGAAGGGCTTCAAAATAAAATGTTATTCATGGGTCTTACAAGAGACATCTATCAACAGGGGGTGGGGTGGGGGTGGGGGTATGATGCTACACATCAAATTGGTAATATTTTAATGTCCTTCTAAACTGGATTCTGATGATATGATTCTTTATTATCAAGGTTAATAAATCTGTTTTTAGGCAAAATATACATGTACAGTGTCATTTGTCATATATAATCAGTGCACAATGTATACCGGTATGTATCAAACAGTCATTACATTTATAACAAATTACCCCTAAAAGCAACATGAACACTTTGAATACTGGTGCCGATTATCTGCAATTTATCTTATTAGCTTGAAAAAAGAACACGGCACACAAAAGGTCAGGAATTTGGGATGGGTAGTCCTGTATTGAGCTTGCATTGTATGGACTGGTTGTTTAGAAAAGAACATTATCAGCATCCAAACAGTCTCAAAGATCAATTGAAACCTTTGAAAAATGATTGATTTTCTACATGCTTTTCTTTATCCTCAAATGTTTTCTCCAAAACCATTCAGGTTTTTTAAACATTTTTTAAAAATATCTTGACTTGTTCGTGAAATTCTGATATCACACTAGTACATTACTGACAAGTTGCTTGATTGTGACAGGGATCAAAGTGTTCATACCTGAGCATCCACCCTCCCTAAAAACAATTTAAGGGAAGCCTATTCTGAGCATCATTGTGACTGCTTTTAAGAGAGTAGAAAAATGAAAATAAATACCACAACACGGCTCCACATGACACTGCTACCGTTTAAATTTCACAGATAGGACATACGTGACATATTCATAATTCGTGCAAAGTTCGACAGAATTTGATGTTGGCTGCAAATGGGACATAGTACCTTTAAATGAATAAGACATTCTCCAAATACACAGCAGTTCAAGAACTTTAATACAGAGCATCACCATGGAAACCAAGGTTAACAATATCACATTCCCAGTAGGAGCGCATGTTAAAGGTCAACTAGTGTTTTATTGTCTTGCACCCAGAACAATAGCATTGTCTGTGTTTGCAGATTTCCAGCTAGAAATGTGTTCCCTCATGGTTACACAGACTACAATAGGACTGTGGCAATTGAGTGTAGAAAGACTACATCTACATGAAGCTGACTTTACTTCACAATGTTTAAATTTAAAAGCTCCTACATACATGTATATGTGGTCATATCAAAGAAGATTTTGACACCTGCTTCAAGTTCAACTGCTTTTATACAAAATAATCATTGCAGGTGACATCATCCAACTTGACCAATTTCTTCCGAAATTTAAACTCCAAAAAGTAAACATGGCTATAAAAATTATTTCAGGCCTGCTGTATATATGGAACCTTATTTTGTGGACTGACAACTGGGCCCTGTAAGGCTGTATCATAAACATTAGCAACTGATTCAAATCAATCTCAACTCTTTATAAGACAGGGGGCCCTGATCTTCATCTTCATCTACAGTAAATGTAGTACTTTCATAGTTTCATGCTTTGGGAGCAACTTGGTGGATAGCAGACAGGTTAATGAGGAATAACTGCTAAAAAATAACAGCATGTCACATAACTGTAGGCTTAACCCTTTCACCCCCTCTGGCAAGTATGAAACATGTAATGATGTCGTATGTCTTTCTCCTTGATACTGAATAATCCTTTCATCAATGTTTAAATAAGATGATGAAAGCATGAAACACTCTTTGACCATCATGAAAGTCAAAAATAGATGAAACTTTTATTGAAAACTTGATGTTACATGAAACTTCGTTAGCATTGGTGGCATGGTTATTTAAAGTTGACAAAGATGTGTATTATGTTACAGCTGGTGATTTCAGCTGTCTGAATTTAATTTATAAGCTTATAAATGCATGATTCAAAACTATTCAATATTCAATATTCAACTAAATAATAACTTCAGAAGGATCCAAACTTGTTATTGAATTCATACGAGAGGAGGGATTTAGTGCTGGTTGGATGTTACCCCCTCAATGAAACACACATTCCACAGGCTTATATGGACTACTGTACAAACACGCATCACCCTTCACTCCACATCCATGTTCCTCAATTCTCTACATGTACACTGTTCATACCCCTTTGTGAATGTGATGTTTTTGTTCTTTTCTAAACTCAAGAATGAAAGGTGGATCGATTGAATTTGGGCGTTTGTTGAATACTTTTAGATGGAAGCTTGAATGTTACATTCTCAAGAAACATGAATCGGGGCAAATCAATTTTTCCCATACTTAAAAAATTAAAAACTCAATAAGGGTATTAATAATTTAGTCGTTAGCTGGACATGTATTCTAGTCTACAGTCAATGCTCTTGGAATGTTGAATTAGTTTGAAACAAACGACAGAAAGCCTACATGATAGATAGAACATGTACAGTATGTTTCACACTATATATGTTTTGTCCTAAACAAGTAATAGCTTTTCATTCACAAACTGGCAGTGCATGTAATGATGTTTAGATACATTGTACAGTAGGTAACAAAAATATATAAATGAGTGGTATTTAATATGTCTTGATATTTTTTGATATTTTCAGATTTTGTGACGAATGTTGTTGAGATTATAAGGTTAACCATGACCTCACACTCACATTTGTTAATACCATGTTGGTAAGACATATAAGATTGCCTAGTTTCTTTTATTTAGTTTATTCACAGTTCTAAAGTATAACAAGTTTAGAAGTTATAGCCTTTTTTAAATTCTAAAAATCATCTAACAATAAAAATTTAAAGTTTGGCTAAAACTATTAAGATTTTGATTTCATTTTGATTTATTTGGGAACTCCTGTAACTTTTGTATAACTATTTTGATAGGAATTGTATTTTGTATATGATATGATCATAACATCAACATCAACATTAATCCACTCATATTCTGAGAGTACATGTAGCCTGCTTTATGAAAATAATGTGCAAGAACAACCTCAACATTTCAGCATCAGCATCAGTATACGGAAGTGTGAGGTGAAATTTACAGTAAATTTACAGTAAATAATTGGCATTCACAAAAATGAGATTTTCCGATTATAAGATCACAACTACATGTACCATACAAACTAAATTTCAGCTATTAACAAGTCATTGCCAAAGACAGAAAAAGCCATGATAATGAACTACATGTACATTTGTACTGTATATCATCTTGTGCTAAAACCAACTAAATATGCTGTAATTTATATAACTCCCATCAAGAAATTCATCAATTTCAACAGTAGTATAATTTCTTTGCCACATAGTTCATCAGAAACCAAGAGATTATTCAGTCTTACATGTATATCTCTTAAAACAGTAATCAGACCAAGATTTTTTTCTTCTTTTCTTTTAAAATAAAAAGATTGAGAGTGATATGTGAGAGATATGATATCTAGCTATATTTGTACAATAAATAAAAGAGAAATATGAGTTTAAAGACTTTAAAGGAAGAAAGTGAATTCATATTATCAAAGAAATATAAGAAATTAGAGACTCTGAAACATACAACAGAACAGAAAGAGAGATAGATGATTAGGGGAGAGAGGGAGGGAAAATTGGAAAGAAATCAAATAATGGAGAGAAAGAGGAATAGGGGAGAAAGAGAGAATTGAGAGAAAGAGGGGTAGGGGAGAGAGAGAGAGAGAGAGAGAGAGAATGTAGAGAAAGAGAAGGAAGGGAAGAGAGAGAAAGAGAAGTAAGAGAAGGTTCAGAGAAAGAGAGAGAGACAGACAGACAGAGACAGACAGACAAAAAAGATAGGAAGGAGGATGAAGAAAAAGGGATAGTGAACATTAGCTGAACAATAGCATCTAAGCCAACACGGATATGATAATAAGATAGACATACATAATACATGTAGTTAAAGATACCTACCTGTACACACCTACACTTCTAAAGAAATGAACCAGAAAATAATATTATTATACTTATTGAAATGTTTTTGTTGTTCTTCTTTACATGCTGACATGCTGTTGTACATCAAGAGAGAAATGTCATATGTTAAATAATAGTTCAGAAGTTCAGAACAATAGTATAGTGAGTAATATCATGATTGAAGAATGCATGCACAATGATTAGCTTGATCTACTTACATCTCCAGTGAAAGAGTACTTGGCCCGGAGTATCTTCCGATATAATCGTGTCCTGTTATCATCATCGAACGGCATCCTTCCACTCAAGAGTATGTAGGCCACCACTCCTATAGCCCATAAGTCTACTGATTGAGTGTACGGCTTACGCAGTAATATCTCAGGTGAGATGTACTCTGGTGTTCCACAAATGGTTCTCATCATGTTATTCTCTGAACCTTCTGTAGTCTTTCTGAAACTAGCCAGACCAAAGTCAGTGATCATGATTTTAGACTCATTACCAGGGTGGTAGTAGAGTAGATTCTCTGGCTTCAGATCTCTGTGTGTTATACCCAGTCCATGTAGGTATCGCATGGCATCAAGGACCATATGAAGAACGCGTGTAGCATCTCGTTCTGTGAAGTTTCCTCTGGTTACTATTCTATCAAATAGCTCTCCACCGGTAGCTAGTTCCATGATCATATAGATCCTATCTTTACCGTCATATACCTCTAAGAGTTGAATGATATTGGTGTGCCTTACTCTACGTAAGATTGTCAGTTCCACTTCCCAAAATTGTTTTCCATCTCTCTTCTTCTCAACCATCTTGATTGCATAGGGTTGTCTGGTTGAGCGATGTTCAACTCGTACAACACGACTGTATGTCCCCGTCCCAATAAGGGCTTTGATATCATACTTTGCATTGACTCTAGGGTCAAATTTAACCTTCCATTTGGCTCGCCTCTGACTTTTATTTTCGCCATTATTGACGCGATTGTACTGACTTACTTTATTGTTATTACCAGCATACGAAGGCACACCACCAGTCTCGACAGTTTTGACCCAGTCAATATGTTTATCGATGATTGGTGAGTCGGGGGCTAACTTGCCGCTCCCACACCCCATTGCTTCTTGATTCCTCCAGTTTTAACAATTAAAACAATCATCACTTTCTTCTTTGACTTATCCAAATGTCCAAATTGTAAATTCCAAAATGGTGGGATATAATCCTCCGCTCATGTGATGGATGTTTCCACTTTCAAACTCCATCAAACTTTTCAGAACTACACTCCAAGCTGTGTTACAGGTGCATGAGAACTCTGTAATAAATCCGCACGGTATAATACGCTCGATGTATGTAATCTTCTCCGATCTGCATCGCATACAGTCTTCTTGTACACACAGCGACCTCTTCAAACACACAATGGGATGAAAGAAAATAATATATTACTCAAGGCAGGGAAGCTAGCTTGCTTGTGTGCGGGTGCGTGGTGACGTACAAAACAACCACCACAAAAGATAAGCCTGTATTATTTTCGGAGCATTTACATGTTTCTTTGTTTAATATACTTTTTTTTAAATAGTTCGTGTTGTAGTTGTGTTTTCTTGTGACTGTGATGAAGAAGTATTTCTCATATTTGTCATCTATGAATACGAAAAATATGAAGTTTTAAAATGTTTGTTTCATGTGAATATATATATATCTTGTTTCTCAATAATGACATAAAGTCGTCTGTTCAGAGCCTTAACTCTGTTATTCTATCATCTAGCTGTCTGTTATAAATTGTTATCATTTTGATTATCAGTCTTTTCCGTCATATGAAAGCTAAATAAAAACTATGACTTTGCAGGTGAATGGTTCTTATTATGAAGGTTGTGACTACGCCCTACCGGGCCTACCCACCCCCTCCCTATGAGTTTAATATTTTTTCTGAGATGATGATGTGTTATGAATATGAGCCATAGGTACTACACGGGGTCTCTTTGGGTAAAATGTCAGGTTAGGTCGTGGGGCCATGCAGTGTTTTCCACACGTCAAAATAAAAGTTCCTGAAATAGAACACAAAATTCCACGAATTGGATGGAATTTACTTTTATTTTGGAAAATTCCTCTTACGTCCCATCTTTGTTGTTTTTCTTTCATGTATTGCTACGGAGGCTAAGATATACATAATCTGTCGCACTAGAATATCAGCTTTGAACTTCAAGTGGATGGAAATGGGTAAAACATTTTCAAATAATAATTTTTAAAAAATGAAATTGTTCACTTTGTCTGTATTTCCTTAAAGACTCTATGTCCCTTTTGCAGCCAACATCAAGTTCTGTTGAACTTTGCAGGAATTATGAATATGTAATGTATGTCCTATCTGTGAAATTTAAATGTTAGCAGAATAGCAGTGTCAAATTATGCAACGAAACCCGTTTAATTGCTAGACTTCACTGTCAGACACTACTAAGTGACTGGCTGGCTTTTTTTTTCTTCTTTGGTAACAACATATATAAAATGAGCTGTAAAGAGTACATGAGCAGTTGTCTACATCAATAACCACTTCTTGTAATGGCCAAACTTAAAATGATTGAATCTTTGTGCAGCACAAAACGTACGACTATTCGGTACAATGGTCTGAAAATCATACTATTACTTACTAACTTGGTAGCACTTAAGTCGATTTGACAACTAATAGTCGTTATTTTTCTACTTAAAGACATTTTCAAGCCCCCTGTTTTAGGGAAGTTCTAAATTAGTATCATCTTTCAAATGCTGTTGCAATTTAACCTTTTCATTTTTTGGGCCTGCAAATGGGACCTCTAGTACCTTTAAATTCCTCTTGATTTTTCTTGATCTTTCTTCAATTTCCGTTACAATTTCCTGACTTTAAACATTTCTTTGGGGAGCCCTGCATGGGGCCCCAAAGGTTAACATCAGTTATAGTCATACATATTGTAAGTGCCGTCATTTCTTATCAAGTCAATATCTTCTTTACTTTCATCATTTAAAGAATCGTGGTGCTAATTAAGATGCTAACATTGTCAAAATAATCATTATATATATATATATATATATATATATATTAACGAAATGATTATACGGGTGTGTTCTTCTTTCTTAGGGGAGTGGGGTCTATGGCGCCGAAAATCAAGCATTTTGTGGGGAAACTGTAGTGTCCTATAGTATTAGAGCCTTCTGACGTCATGATCTTGAGAGGTTTGACAGCGGAGAAATGCAGGTGATGTGACATATAAGAAATTCCTGCTATTTTTAAAATTAAAGTTATAGCAAATTATTCAGGAGGCTATAACGAGAAGAGTGCAAGCCCTGTGCAAGCCAGTGTTCAGCTGAGATGCAATTATGTAGCCTGCCAGTATATAGTGCAAAAATCATTTTGTTTCAAATCCAAGATATGCCCGTCATTTTATTCTCAAAATCCTAAAATAGCAGTTTCGGTTTTATGGTTTGTTTAAGTTCGTTTGTTTGTTTGTTTTCCTGTGTTATTTTTGTCCATGTTTGTTCCATGTCTTGGGCAGAATACCAAAATGAAACAGAGGAAGTTATCTTGTTGTAGTGGCTTCTGGTATTCACAGTCAATCAGTTGCTGACTATAGAGAAACTTTATGCAAATACCAAACGCAAACAAAAAGAGATGAAACTTTTTAAATAGTGCGATCTGTAAATCTTTTTATTTATCTGCCGTTTAAAGTATATTGGGTTTAGATCTATGGAATCCAAAAATAATTATCATGCCTTTATTAGACCATATCTAACAAAATTACATAATGCTTCATTAATGTTATGTTATTCGACACTGATGACATGCAGGTTTAGTTATAGATAATATTTGGATTGATGAATAAATACATTCTGAAATCAACTTGATCGTATATATGGCCTAATATTATCATCATCTCATCTATATCTTCTTTCATTGATTAAAAATCATTCGTGTTGCTGCTAATTGTGCTATAATGAGCTCATTCTTGAACGTTAACAATAAAGACGTTGTCAAGTAGGCTGTTGGTCCATGTATTCTAGGTTTTAAAAATAATCAATTGTCTTCACGCCCAACCCTTATTATCAAACCGCTATTTTTGTGTTACTATTGATCCATTTCATGTCCACTACAACGTTAATAACCCCGTTATATTCTACAAGGTCGATCGGTCTGCTTTGCGATTAGACGGATTACCACCAAATCGCCATCAGAAGAAGACCAAGAAAAAGAAGAAGAAGAGAAGGAGGAGGAGGAAGAAGAGGAGGAGGAGGTAAAAGATGATGAAGAAGAAGAAGAGGTAGAAGAAGAGGAGGAGGAAGAGGAGGAGGAGGAGGAGGAGGAGGAGGAGGAGGGGGAGGAGGAGGATGAAGAGGACAACGAGGAGGACAAGGAGGCGGAGGAGGGGATGGAGTAGCAGGAGGGGAGACGAAAGAACTTATGTTATGACTGGGCCTGCAGAGTATTACAAACAAAAATCGAGGAAGAGGAAGAAGAAGAAGTATTAAGAAGCTTGAAGAAGAAAAAGAAGAAGACGAAGAGGAGAAGGAGGAGGCGGGGGAGAGACTGCAGAAAGTAATGGCTGGGTTTGTAGAGTATTACAAACAAATTGGGGCTGTCAAGCCGGTGGAGATAAATAAAACATAACGATAGATACGATTGCGAAAAAGTCTAGGGAACTAGGGGTACGTAAATAACATTTCCTTCCAGGCCTGTATTAATTTGTTCGTGAACCAAAACATTTTACGAACAAAAACGGGACATCGAGGAGGGGTGGGTAGAAAGAGAGAGAGGGGGAGAGAGAGAGAGAGAGAGAGAGAGAGAGAGAGGGAGAGGGAGGGAGAAGTGGGAGAGAAGGGAGTATTTGTAGAAGGACCCAAGTAAACAAAATAGAGCCTCTTCCTTTCTTTGACTCAACAATGGGAGTTAATCTGCTTTTGTTGCCTGTCAACGCTAGTAAAAAGACCTCATTGATTGTCTATATTCAGCGATCTAGCTCAAAAGAAGCCCCTTGGTAGATAAAAAGGAGGGGAAATGAGAAAAGAGGTGTTACGTAAGAGGAGAACAAGACCCTTTGTAGTTAACTCGTTGTGATTCAAATGATGTATGAATAGAGAAGAGGTATGTATATTTACAGAAGAGGATTTCAATATAATATGACTACTATATATTGGACGACTTTAAGAGCGCTGCGTCACCATCAATCCACTATTGTCTACTCATGAACCATTTATAAGATAGCTGAGAAACATTGCATGTTCTAATCAAAATAATGTAATTGATATAAACTCTTCACAGGGTCTTTAACCCCAATCTTTGCGAACAATTCCAAATGTTTTGTCTCATGGGAAAAATGTTCTTCTTTACAACTTGTTAATCATTCAATGTAAAATGCCGCACTTCAAAAATGAATGTTCCGATCATCATCAAAAACGATTTATTTGTCTATCGGAAAATATGACAGCTCGGCAGCTGGAGACGGCTATCTTGCAGAAGCTTTGGTATTCAAGGTATTCAAGGTATAATAGATAACACACAGTCACCGAAACAATGCATGCTTGGGAAGAGAAAATGACATGGTATTCGCCTTGCCCAGAGCCCCCTCTTCCAAGTTCCAAAGGCGTAGAGTGTTCTTATTACTGTTATGCCCATGATTTTGTATAAATGCATCATCAGCGTGCGTGTAAATATTTTCCCATGGACTGAAACCTCTTGATCGAAAGCCCCCCCCCCCCCCCCCCCCACTCGGAGGGACCACATTCGTGTTCCCATGCACTGATATAATTATTTGGTTTGGACGTGGATGCATGTGCGGCTGACATTTTTTCAGCATCGTCGAGGAGTTTGGACGAAAAAGTGATATGATTTCAGTTATTTGTGCATCTGGGAGCAGTATCAGTTCGTTGCACGCGAAACCAAAGAGATCAAACATCATATCATTTTACATTGTGTTCATTGTCTATTCTTAATCACCCTCTATCTAAAGAGTATTTTAGGCATTTTTAGAAGAAAAGATTTTACACACCAAACCATAACCACCTGGTTTATTTATTCTTAACTTGTGTAAATCAATTAGATAGGCAATCAAAATGATTATTTAAGAAAATAATATGCGAGTGTTTCATAATCATTAACACGGTTGTCATTTGCGCATTATGATTCAGTATTTTTATCTTCTCGTTTATCATATTTCCGATATACTTGAATTCACTTAAAAAGCTGAGTTTTCTACTACTATACTACTGATAAATATATATACATTTATAGATATGCATACAGGAAAGTAAAAATAATAAGTTAAAGAAATCAATATTACCAATTTATGTATCATTATCATTTTGTCATCAAATGACAACAGCATGTATTCATGTTTTTTGTTTTTTAAAATCCTATTTCTGTTGACTGTAAATTATGTCCGAGCCCTTTTTTGACATGTGAGCGAAACAAATATCCATGTTGAACATACATCGTAAAACATAAATGAATTGATACTTGTTTTAAATAAAACTTTTAATGAGGGGTGTCGTATCGCTGAATACATATACGTCTATATGATCATACATGTAAAGTTCAGCGTTACATTTATAAACCCGTTTTACGCGAGGTAACTAGCCATCTGACCGACCGGTGGACAGAATGGACTCACGCCCTCACATAGGTTCTTCTCTACAGTGTTGATTGTATGATTGTGATGCATGCGAACACAGGGTTCTTTGTCGAAGTAGGAGAAGAAGGAGAAGGAGAAGAAGTAGAAGAGGAAGAGGAAGAGGAAGAGGAAGAGGAAGAGGAAGAGGAAGAGGAAGAGGAAGACGAAGAGGAAGAGGAAGAGGAAGAAGAAGAAGAAGAAGAAGAAGAAGAAGAAGAAGAAGAAGAAGAAGAAGAAGAAGAAGAAGAAGAAGAAGAAGAAAAAGAAGAAGAAGAAGAAGAAGGTGCAAGAGGAGAAGAAGAAGAAGAAGAAGAAGAAGAAGAAGAAGAAAAGAAGAAGAAGAAGAAGAAGAAGAAGAAGAAGAAGAAGAAGAAGTTGCAGGAGGAGAAGAAGAAGAAGTAGAAGAAGAGGAAGAAGTAGAAGAGGAAGAGTAGAATGATATCAATTGCAAATTAGTTAATCGCTTTTATACTCTTTTTAAGACAGGGCCAAGAAAAACACTCAAAATAAAACAAACACACTTCCATTTATCAAGAAAAAAGTGGGCATGAAAGACAACAATATGGATTTCATAGTTTATTTCAAAATACACATATGTTCTTATTTGAATAACATGTGCTTCTTTTTACATAAACTCACATAATTAAAGCAAAATGAAGAGAAATACACAAGAAATCAATTATCAACTTTCACAAGAGTAAGAATGCCCTCTAAGAAAAGCAACCTGGGGACCTCTGGCTTACAGTCCTATCCAAGGGACTTTGTAATCAAACCTTAATAGACATCTGCTCTAAAAGACTACAGTAAAATCAAAGAAGCAGATGGTGAAAGTTTTAATGAAATCGAACCAAAACAAGAAAGTTAAGAATTGTTGAAAGTGGTAATCACTATACATATTGGGACTTCAAATTGGCTGAAATGGTAATGTCATTGTGACTTAGAAACGGCTTAGTGACCGACAACTTTCCAGTTTGTTCCAACACACGTAATGATTATAATGTCAATTCTTTTCAAATTGTATGACTCAGGTGGGTCTTTTCTTTTCGAGGACCTAGAATATAATATGCTGTCCATAATATGTTTTGAGCAGTGCCCTAAGGAAGAAGGCACCAAGGAGAAAAACAGAAATTAGTGATATTTTGTTTACATACCAGTACAAACGGGAAAGTTGTCAGTGACTACATCACAATATGCTGACCATATTACCAAGTTGAGATTTGCATATATTTGGTGATCCCATATTTCAAACTTTCATCATTCTATTTCTTTTATTTAATGGTAGATTCAAATAAGGGCTTTACAAAACTATTCAAAATGTAGTCATAGATTGAAAGAGGGTGTGTGAGAAAGAGAGAAAGAGAGAAAGAGAGGGGGGGGGGTACAACAAAGAAAAGAGATGCAGAGGGAAGAGGGAGAAAGAAAAAAAAAGAGAAAGAAAGAAAGAGACAGAAAGAGAGAGAGAGAGAGAGAGAGAGAGAGACAGAGAGAAGAGACAGATAAAGAGAGAAGACATGGAAGATACTAGTAACTCCGAATGCTTGGCCAGACCTCACCAATACAACAATGATAAACGATATGCTCATATAATGCATAAATAACAATAAGAGAGGTCAGGCTTTCGAAATGGTAACATTGTTGGTTATACCTAACACAATGGACACTTTAAAATGTATCTGTCACCGATGTAACATCAAAAGATTGCAATTATTGTCTCGTAGATTTAATCTATGGGGTCTGTCCTAAAAAACGTTGGTGGTCGAGCAAGCCCCACAAGAAGATAAACCCCTTGAAGGAGGCTCATTTGCATATATTGTTGAGGACTGACCTATAACAACGATTTTCAATCGGACATTTTCATAATGTAACCAAATTTAATTCATACCTCGTTGTCAAGTGAATGCCTTGGTACAAATTATTTCATTCACCTGATACAAAAAATTGTATTTCAATAGTCAGAATGGCATTCATTATTTGCAGCTAAGTAGAACAAACATTTTTGCTTTCCCTATCTAAAAACACGATGACTGTTGAAAGACAATTACTTGTTACAGTTGAATAAAATAATTTCTACCGAGACATTTCAAAAAAATGTATGCATTAAATTTGATAACATAACAAATGGCCTACCGGTTTTCATTTTTACATGAACGACAGGGGAGCAATTTGGGAACAATTTATCATTAGAGTTATCGTAATTGGTGAGGTATGACCAGGCTCAGAGGGTTTGAATGATTAAAGAATGAAAATAGAATAAATCATAATAAAAACAGTGCTATATCATCTGCATGCAATATACATGTAGTCGATATGCATAATACAAATATTGATTTTCTTGCATACAAGTTTATATGTATAATGTACATGTATAATATTCTCTCTATACTATCAAATACATGATTATTTGTTTCTTTACATGTATATATGAATATATAAAATCAAAATAGATAACATTACTTACATCTGTACATGTTTGATTTTCTTTGAGAATAAGTTTTCCCACTACATACATCATTGACTGGATCATGTATACACATACTGGTCATAATGGGCATGTGGATCTAGAAAGTAACACATACAAACAGGCTGCAACCTCCAAACTAAAAATACAGAAAATATCAATTTTCAATATTTAAATGAATGACTAGAATTTTATTCTCAAAAGATTCACCACTTTCTATCCCCTTTATAATGATTTGAGGAAGGGCCTCTGCAAGGAAAAGGTAAAAATGGGTATAAAAAATTATATATTATATTTCTGATAATTTTGAAAAGGATTAAGCTCATGACACATTAATTTCACATTCAGACACTATTTTATGGGGGGGGGGGGGGGGGGGGGGAGGGGGGGGGGGGGGGGGTGTCAATTGTAAGAAGTAATCAAATAACAGGATTGTAACTATATGCTGTGTTCTTAAGACTACCAATCCAAGCTGTCCATATCTCATTTCTTGCCATCAGATGAAAGACTTAATCTACCAGGTTGATATTAGAAAGGTCTTAAAGGCAGGGTGTTTTACCGACATCGCTACCACTACTGTAATGTATTTTCAATTGCGCCTCCTTTCGATGAAGGCGTACATGGAGCGATTTCTGGCCGGGTCCAGTACCCAAGCATCATCCCATGTGTCAATGGTTGGTGATGCATTGTGGGACAAGGCTGTTGATACATCAGGACATTGTGAGCAGCAGATGGCAGCACACATAAATCTGAAGCAGTTTGATTAGAATACCCTGCCTTCAAACACTAACCCATAGAATGTAATCATTGACTTATTACGAGTATTGACATTGCGAATCTCAACCATGGAGATACTGCATTCCTATAATGCTCACACAGCACAAGAACAGAAAACCTGCATTGGTTGGGGATAATCATAATATAACAGGTAGTTTCAGCTTCTACCAACCTTAACATTTAGAAGGCAAGCTTTCATCCACTCATGTGGACTTTCTCAAGCATAGTGATTATTCACGCAGTTTCTTGCAGTACAATAACATCTTCCTATTTACTGGAAGACCTACTGATTTCAAGTGATATACAATATTCCATGAAGGACCATAATTCAAATATACATGTAGTAGATAAACCAGAAAATAGGAATAACTACAAAAAACATTTGTGAAGAAGAGAAAATGTAAGCACTACAGTATTTGCATTGATTCACGAAATTATATATTTCTTGTAATGCAGCAAATTTATAAAAAAAACAATGAAATACAAACAAAACCCCAGAATTAACAAAATGTTATTTGATAAAATCATGTAGGGCTTTAAAATCTGATTAGTTTCAGTCAGTGCAATAGCTGAGGGGCACAGAAAGAGAGATTGAAAGAGAGATTGAAATGGAGAAAAGGGAGGAGTATGAAAAGAAGACGATCTAACCGCCTCCTCCTCCTCCTCCTCCTCTCTAAAGTTGTTATCCTTGTTTTCTTGCACCCAGGGAGGGGTGATGGGGGGGGGGGGGGTATATTGACATGAACATGATTCACTGAAGTTCACTGTAATATCAAGCTATCATACTGCTCGGGATTTAAAATAGGACAACTCACAACCCCTCATACATGTAGTCATTCATATGACAAAAACATATGACATAATGATTATTACTGGGTCTTTATTGCTCAGATGCAATAGATAAAAAACAATTGGTTGTAAAAACTTAATTTCTGACATCGGTAGAAAGGATGAATCACTTATAGTTTAAAATGGACATCCAACCATAGATTGAAAACAGTCATCACACACAAGTGAATTGGGAAAGATATCATTATTAAATCATTACCCAAATAAAAAACAAATATTATAACATAAAATTATACAACGCTGTATCATATCAACAGCACATTTTACACAAATCAGCTGGCTAGCATAATAAATACACTCTTTCAATGAATCACATAGATTGTATATAAAAAAAAGACAAACAACGAATAGTAATGAAACAGAGTGGCAAAATGAAAATTCTTGAATTAAGGTATTAATTGTAATTTTAGGGTGAATAGAAAGAAACTTATTTTTAACAGGGGTGGGGTTAAAGAAATACAAATCATACAACTTTATACAAAATATCCGGGAAAAAAATTGTCATTATGGTAGTATTGAAAGAGTGTTTATTGTAGATATTTAGGAATCATGTGGTTCTTAAATCGTAGATAATGACCTAAAACTCTTTTTTATCAATAAATTGTTAATTTTGACAAAACAGAAAGTTAAGCTGTCAGAGGCCCAAGTGCGAGCATTTTGAAAATGATGTTTTATTGAAATAAATGCTTTGCATAAATCAATGGAACTCCCTTTATCTGTAAAACAAAACACACAACTGAAATATCCTGGATATATAAGATTAAACAGCTCTGCTAAATTCAATATATATTGTAGTGATAATTCAAATATACTGTCATAATTAATAAGAAACGATAGCAAATATTTGCAGCACAAGATTATTGTTGCCTTTACTCTCTATTACATTATAGATCAGTACGGTATCTTCTGATTTCAAAACAAATTTCTTGCGCTTAAAGATCTTCCAAGAAATAGTTTGCAGGACTTCCGAAGAAGAAAACAGACTGTTTGGCTAACTCACCCTTGATTGATTCCATGCAATGTGTCAAGAATAAAATCTGTATTATTTCTATCTATTTCATCCAAATCTGAATATTATCTAGATGTAACCAGTGAATACTGTCTGTGATACAAGAAAACAACCATTTGTAACGGTCTTATTGAGAAATCTTCTTAGTGTGTGACATAACAGGAAAATAGATATGTCGCACAGGACACATTACATGGCATCACATCCTTCTATTTGCTAGGACCAGGACTTCTGATGAACTAGAGAGACTGTTCTGTTACCTCAATCTTAGGTTTCTTTGGTCCTGGACTCGTCAAGAACTAGATTGTCTAGCCGATCACTCTTGTGTTTGTTTGGTCCAGTTTCTGTCTTGGTTTGATCCAGGACTTCTGAAGAACTACAAAAGATGTCCTACGATCACTCTTGCATCTGTTAGTCCAGGTCTAGACAGGTTGTCCAGCAATCACACCATTATGTTTACCTGGTCCAGGACTTCTGAAGAACTAGTAAGGATGTCCAGTGATCAGAATCTTGTATCTGTTAGTCCAGGACTAGACAGGTTGACCAGTTATCACACCCTTAGGTTTGTTACGTGCAGGACTTAAGATGAACTGAAAGCAACTCCAACAGCACTGTGTCCAGCCCTGTAGTATATCAAGCATGTAATCATTAACAAACAAAATGAAACCTGTACCACTTTACTACACACTGCCAGAAGACAGTCACAGAATTAAACAGAGACTCCTGCTAAATGTATCACACATGGTACTAATAAGATCAGCCCTATATGCCAAACAACTAATTCTGAACAAATAATGACAAGAGTATTAATGGCCGGAATTTGGTGCATTTACCTCTTTCATATCAGAATAAAAGCCGAATCGGCCTCAAATCATAGATAATCGCACAACTGGTGTGACGTCACTACGATTCTGAGCTGATTTAGCTTTTCTTCTCCAAGGAAGATTGTTGATTCCTTGAAATTTAGATACTGTGTATGCAACTACAAGTTCACCTGGCTTTCTATGGGCTAACAGATAAGAAGTATGAAGAAAATACAGAAATCCCACGTTTCCAGCCCTATATTAAGCAAGCCCGTATGGGTGCGTTGAGTAGTTTACTCACAAGTCACTTTTATGTTAATTGAGAGCGTATTTCAACTTGCAAAGCCTCCTTAAAGAAATAATATTGTTAAGCGATTGATTTACTTGGAGGTATCCAGTAATATAATCTCACAGAAGATGCACCATGTAAAATTGATATCTGCCAAAACTCCTTGTTAAAAGTGAAAAACCACTACAGGGCCACATCTCATTGTTATTTGTGTTATTAAGGCTACCCCTTTACATGTATCTATAATAAGATTGAATATATCTCTCTCTGATCATGATCAATTAGAACCTTAGGTAAAACAAACGGATGCCTTACTCACATGAAGAACATTAGAACAATCAATACATATCAGTAAACATACTTTCAAATATAGATATCTATAGACGCTACACACATTTATACAATTACAGAGATATACATGTCCCTACATACATACATACATGCAACCAACACTGAAATCTAATTTTAATATTGACGAGACAATCATGTGCCTGGCAAAAGCAATCTCATAGGAATTATTTCCATTTTTTTTTCACTGTGAGGAAGCCTATTGAAGATGGATTAAAAATGAGTCATTTCAAATTGCACATTCCTTTACTTTCCAACGAACATGTTACAATACACAAAGAAGCATGTACAAAGCAATCACAGAGTTGACATAACGACATATATAAGATCGAGTGAAAAGCATTGTGTTTAATTTCAGTTTAGGGTGAATAGGGTTTTGATCCATGCTGTATTTTCATCCTCTGCAGTCTTTTGGCAATTTTCTCTGGTTGGCTCTGCAGTAAAGTGAGAGCAGAAAGAAGAGAGAAACAAAAGAAAAGAAAAATCATAAGCAAGCAAGAAAAATATGTGCAGAACAAGAACAAGGAAGGCACTACCAAAGTACAAAGAACAAAGACATAAATATTCATTTTATGTGACAAACTTTTCATTTTAATAACACAACTAGTGCTAAATTTTGCAGGCTAAACTAAGAAAAAAGGAAAGTTGTTATCCTTGACAACATCTTTGTTGTCTAGACTACCGTAAGTAATTCTATGATGTATGATTTAGTTGCTATTTAGTCAAACGCCAATTTGTTCAATCCATGATTTGTCTCATTGTATTTCATTTGTCTACTTCCCACTATATCCACTCGCCAGTTAGTCTAATACCTTATTGAGCTAGTATCCACTTAGTCTAGTCAGCTATACCAAGCGCATACTAACCCAATTGAGTGGTGAAGTGTGACGTCATCAAAAATCCATTTTTGGAATTTCTCAATTTTTTCTTCATTTTCCGAAAGAGCATAAAAAATAATGTCCAGATATCAAAAACCAATTGAATATGTTAAGTATTGTTATTTTGCTCTCACCTCTGGTTCATAACTTCACGAACCAGAGCAAAAAAACACTTGAGTTCCTATAGGAAATCTATTTATTCAGAAGGTTATATTTCAGCCAATACTTAACATATTCAATTGGTTTTAGACATGTGAACATTATTTTTGATGCTCTTTCGGAAAATAAAGGAAAAATTGAGAAATTCTAAAAAAAGATTTTATGATGTCACAGCTTTGGTACTCTATAGGTCATCAGTTTGTGTATATCTGTGTCGAAATCAAATTGACATTAGACTTGTTGAATAGTTCGATAGGCAAACTAAATATAGACAAGAAGAGATTAGACCAGCTGAACACTAGACAAATTGGCATTGGATCAAATGGCAATACACCTTTCAAAAGCAACAATACGGCACAACACTAATTCTTGTGATAACATGTGAGTAGATATGTATCAAACAAGACAGAGACTCACAATGTGATTGACAGATTGATTGACAGATTGAGACAGAGCAGAGAGAGAGAGATGCAGCACATTGCTTATGGTACATATGATACAAGTATATAATACGACCACTGATTGCACTGCTTTAGTTTTAGTGTTCATACATCTGGGCCACATTTCACAAAACATGTCTTCAGTGACAAATGACAGTCTTTGTTATAAGCTATTGAAATCCTTGCTTCTGATTGGTTATCAGCAGATTTGTCATTGCTTTTTGTCATTTGTCATTGAAAAAGGCTTTGTGAAACGAGACCCTGATCATGATTATCAACATGATGATGATAATGATGATCAATAATCTGTGCACTCACAGAGTAAATTATTGACACTTTGTTGATATCCAGTGCATTAACAATACTTATTGCAAGTAATACTGATGCTAAATATTGGGGAAAATTGATGTTAGCCTAAATAGTTTTGATTGTGCAATATCAAAGATCGCATACTGTAAGGACAAGTATGAGGAATTCCCAGATCCATTTTTAAAGACAGCCTCCATTAAAGCTGATGAAATCTGCCATCATGTAACATTTGACAGGCATTACACAAATAAAGGAAAAAACGTTTCATACGGCAGGGCCAGTCTGATATATTGTATATTGATTGCTATCTCATAGTTGTTTATGACTGTACATCAAAGGTGAAGATGAGGGTAGTGTGCTATGTATCAATTGTTAAGAGCCAGAAAGGAGTAATACATCTATGTAACACCCTTCTGCCTATAAGCAGATGACAGTGTGTATATTACCTTGACTGGTGACCCTCTCTTCTCTGCTCTCCTGCCTTGCCGGATCCTACTTGTTTGAGCTGGTGATCCCTTCTTTGAAGATGACTGATTGGCATTCCTATCGGGTTGCCATGCCGATACAATGGAATCTTCTCCTCCCGTGACCAATGTTTCCGTCTAGAATGAAATCAAGATAGATCCTTGCTACAGTGCACACATTACACTTTCTAATTCAACATAATTCACATGTATGCTTTCATCCACATGCTGTCTTACTACAAAGACATTTGCTCTACATGAAAGAATAGACCCATTAATGGTTCATGAAAAGGATACAGAAAAAACTTCTTGGACCGTAGTGATAGAAACAATCAACCATATAGTTTAATTCTTTTAAACGCCAATATAAATCCAGTCTTTAAAGTTCTTATTCATAATGTGAAATGTTATATTATGCATGCTTGTTTCATTGTTTTATTTGTTTGTTTGTCTGTTTGTTTGTATGTATGTATTGTTCATTTGGGGTCAACATACTATAGGGCTATCTGCTCTCATTCTCATAATGTGTTTTTGTCCAATTGTTCTGTATTGACTTCTATTGATGTTGCTCTGTCGTTTATTTATTTCATGTATGTTGTTATTATTGAGAATGAAAATAAGGACTGAACTGAACTGAACTGAACTGAACTGAACTGAACTGAACTGAACTGAACTAAACTGAACTGAACTGAACTGAACTGGACAGAACTGGACTGAACTGAACTGAACTGAACTGAACTGGATGGCCTTCTCATATGATCTGAATGCGAATGAAGACCTCTCATCTGGTCTGAACAGGAAGAGGGGGTACTCACTTGATTATCCCAATGAAGGCACCTCACAACTCCTTTGTGAGTTCCTTTGAGTGAATGAACAAAATGAAGTCTGTCTTTCCCCACTGTCAGCAGATGTAAATCTCCGCTGTAACCAATGACAAAAAAATAAAGACAAATTGTCATGAAATAAATAGGATATCAATTATTGGATCCCAAACATACCGGTAATTGCTTCTTTATAGATAAGTGATAGTCATTATATGGGAACATACGGAACAAGGAAAGTCAAAAGAACAAGTGGTACATGAACAACCAGATAGTCTAATGTCTTACCCCACTGTTCCTCCAAGTACTACTAAGGACTTGAGACCTGAATGATAGAAACAATCAACCAGATAGTCTAATGTCTTACCCCACTGTTCCTCCAAGTACTACTAAGGACTTGAGACCTGAATGATAGAAACAATCAACCAGATAGTCTAATGTCTTACCCCACTGTTCCTCCAAGTACTACTAAGGACTTGAGACCTGAATGATAGAAACAATCAACCAAATAGTCTAATGTCTTACCCCACTGTTCCTCCAAGTACTACTAAGGACTTGAGACCTGAATGATAGAAACAATCAACCAGATAGTCTAATGTCTTACCCCACTGTTCCTCCAAGTACTACTAAGGACTTGAGACCTGAATGATAGAAACAATCAACCAGATAGTCTAATGTCTTACCCCACTGTTCCTCCAAGTACTACTAAGGACTTGAGACCTGAATGATAGAAACAATCAACCAGATAGTCCACTTTACACCGATCCTCCTGTACAAAAGAAAAAGATAAATTTCATCAATCAAATATTTTTAACTTAGTTAATACATTACGGTAGTTATTGAAAGAAAACATAGTGTATCACATATAATTCTTTATTGTAGCCACTCCTCTATGTTCTTTGAGTACTGACAACTGTCTTGTCTTGTCTTCTGTTTGATGAAACTTAGCTATTTCATATGATAAGATTACCATCTCATTCAAATATTGGTAAGATGTTCCGGAGCACTACATATTTGTCTGCCAGCTATGAACAGGGTAATTGTTGGAGCGCCAGCAGTGTCACGATGTGATGGACATGTGCGCTATATGAAAAGCCACTATTATTATAAGAAGACATACGAGTACAGACAAACTTAAACGCAAGATTGTTTTGAACATTGCATAGAGACACATTTACTTACCTTCAATGATTCTCTTACTGAATCAAACTTGGTAATTTCTGAAGACTGTCGTAACAAGAAAAGAAAAACAAACATATTATCAATTCATATCCTTAGACAACCTCATGAATTTAATTGTTTATCAAACAGTCACACAAACATGTAAAACACAGATTTATGACAAGTCCTGCATGAGAATATTCCACACATACGTTGACTTCTGAATTCTTCATTCCCATATATGTAGGCTTAATATAGGGAGCACCAAGGTCTTGCAGCCAATGGCTGAAGAGACAGCAAAAAAAAAAGGGAAGGGGGGGGGTAGAAATAGGGAGACAGACATTTAAAATTGAGGAGACAAGAAATAGAGGGAAAGAAAGAAAGAGAAAGAGAGGGAGAGGAAGAGAGAAATAAAGACAGAGAGAGAGAGAGAGAGACAGAGACAGAGAGAGATAGAGGGAAGGGTAGAGAAGATTATGAGGAATACAGCGAGAAAAGTGGTAAAGAAAATACAAAAGTGGGAGATGAGTAGTTTTTCTTTGAAATTATGTGTAGTGTGATGACTAAACATTACGCAGAAGTAAAAAAAAAAAAGAAGCTAAACTTAAGCATCTAAACAAATATTGAGATTCTACAGAGAGATTCTATAAACACTTACCTCAACAGCATCAAAGATCCGAATGGTTTCCGTATGAGTCAAGCAGTAGAGATATTCACTGTTTGTACCACACCAATCAATGTGACTCTGTAATGATCAATCAACAGATATCCTCTCAATGTTAACACTCAATCACTCTATATTCTCATCAAATAAGTCCTTAGAATACTTACTCAACACTGTTCAAAGCGATAACACTTCAAACTATTGTATCATTACAAATTAAACATCGTAATATAAGCCATCTTCAGACACAATACAGTACATTGTACTTGTAATCAATGAATGGCAGGGGGTAATGGCGCAATGATGTGGAGTTAAACATATTGGCGCATGCATTAACCACTTGAATGACGGATCACAATAGACCATTATCCTAATGTAATCAGCATTAAATGCATCAATCATTGTTAAGTGACATGTTATAAATTATGTCATTCACCTGTTTAATGATTGTATTTTTATATTTGTACTTTGTATAATTATCTGTAATGTTATTATTAGAATTATGTATTATTATTGCTGTATGTTCATTTCATGTTGTACCTTACTTGTATGTTAAGCGCTTAGAAACATTGTATTAAGCGCTTTATAAATGTAATTTATTATTATTATTATTCTATTTCAATAGTCAGAATGCAAATTGCCTACATTAATTGTTGCTAGGTAGGACAAACACTATGGCTTGTCCTACCTAGCAACACATAGTACTGCAATATATGTTCTGACTATTGAAATACAGTTATTCATACCAGGTGAATGAAATAATTTGTAACGAGGCACTAAACAAAGATTTGTGTATTAAATGTGATTACATTACGAAAATGGTCTAATGTATAAGATACTTAAGACTGAAGTGCGCTATGCTTGTCTAACTACCCGTATATTTTGCCATAGCATTTTGTTTTGTTTTGATTTTAAATCAATATACGATAATACCACTTCATTTAATCAATGGATGATTACTAATCACTCCCGAAATGGTCATACATGGAAAATGATGATGCTCCTCAAAACATCCCCCATCCCTTCAGACTACATACATTCATTGTATAGTTATTAAACAAAATCTGCATATCTATACAATCAAATTGTTCTAGTCTGAATGTTATATACAAAACTGCTGTAGAGCAAAAACTCAAGTTTGAGAATTAGAATCAAGGGCAACATTTCATTAAACCGTCATAATTACCAGTTCGCCGACACCCCCATTGAAATGCGTGTTTCAACAGGATGTCGTTCAACCTGTACTTTGACGGTTTAATGAAACGATGCTCTAGTCATGTTCTCATCTGAACTTCACATCGTATGAACATCACATAACTGCATGTGCAGGGCTTATTGCGAGCATGCACGGGTGGTTAGCCAGCTGCCATGCCAACTCATCTCTTCAAAACTACCGGTAGTCTCCATATACCACATTTCTTTATACAATTTTGTTTTCAAGTGTGTACACTGCTTTCTGGACCATGAGTCTTTATATGTATTTCATATAATTTTCCTCCACTTTGAACAAGCTACCAGACAAGCATCCATTATGAATACTTGATAGGAATCAGAGATGTAATTTGATGGTGACTTCTTCATACAAAGGATGTTCAAATTGAGTAAGTTGAGAGAACATACCACTGATGATTCTGAGTTGAGAGTTGTAACAAGTGCATCTTCTTCATTCGTTTGACTGGTATCAAACACACATACAAGACCATCAGTTGATCCTGTGGCTAAACTTGATGATTTGGTGGGGTGAAATTTGACCTGTAAACAAAAAAGAATATTAATAGAATCAGTTGATAATGTCACATCACAATAACTAAGAAAATCATATAGACATACTAACAAGAAAAGCACAAGGAAGATTGTAACTGTTTCATGAACTCAAATGTGGCATCATAATGAAATAATACACGAACCTGTCTCAGTGTCTCTCTGTTATTATGTTCAATAGAGTATGTACCTTCCTCAGTAAAAACAGAAATAATGATGTAAGAGTGTTTCATTTAATTTAAGCCACATGGATTTGTATCAGTTTAAAAAATTCTTTCATGACAGCTACTTTTATTCATTTATGAGAGCAGTTATGACAGTTTTATGGAGAAACAATCCCTCTCAATAAGTAGCTTCTCACTGTCTACATTCCACACTCATTAAAACTCATCTCCATTCAGACACAGAATAATACAATCATTCTGCTCCAATGACTAATGTTGATTAAACTCAATAGTAATTCATTTCAGAAAATAAGCACAGGCAGTTGCTATGGAAATTGATTAAAGCAAGAACAGGGAAGAAAATACACACAATTATAAAATAGCAAGAATAGTAAATGAAAAAGGAAAGGCTAGCTTCCTAATTATACATTATTGTAGTTATAATTCCTCAAGGTGTATTCTTCAATTGCCTCAGTTCTTTGAAAAAATCTGCATCTTGCATACAATTAAAATACCCTAGAGTTTAATTCTTGGTTGTATTTTATATATTTACACTTGTCTTTAAATACAATTGACATCCTTAAATTGTATGTCAGACATATCATGTTGATAAAATTAAGGTAAACAGCAAAAAATACCCTCAAAACGAAAACGCTTAAAAGATTGTGACAGGTGTATGAGAGAGCAAGCGATATACAATCTAATTACTTACAAGGTGAGTGACTGGACATGCATACCAGGTATTATGATACTGACTCACAATATAAACTCCCTAATCACCTTTTAGCACATATCTATCATTGACCTTCCATGGCCAGATGCTTAACGTGTTACATCTATGAATTATTAAACACAATATATTAAATATTCATAGGAAAAGATAATAGATGTGTACTGGGAGATACGTCAGTATCAATGGTGATGAGCTTATTTTGTGAACCTTAGAATCATCTTTACATGACAGAAATACTACGTTCATGCAAACACCATAAGGATACAAATAGGCTGACAGACTGGAATTCTCAATTTTTCAAAGAAAAAATAATACTAGTAATAATAATTAGAGGAAGAAGAAGAAGAAGAAGAAGAAGAAGAAGAAGAAGAAGAAGAAGAAGAAGAAGAAGAAGAAGAAGGTGAAGAAGGTGAAGAAGAAGAAGAAGAAGAAGAAGAAGGTGAAGAAGGTGAAGAAGGTGAAGAAGGTGAAGAAGGTGAAGAAGAAGAAGAAGAAGAAGAAGAAGAAGAAGAAGGTGAAGAAGGTGAAGAAGGTGAAGAAGAAGAAGAAGAAGAAGATGTAGAAAAAAAAGATGAAGATGAAAATGAAGAAGAAGAAGAGGGAGAAGAAGGAGAAGAAGGAAGAGAAGGAGAAGGAAGAGAAGGAGAAGAAGGAAGAGAGGGAGAAGAAGGAAGAGAGGGAGAAGAAGGAAGAGAGGGAGAAGAAGTAGATGAAGAAGAAGGTGGAGGAGGAGAATAAGAAGATGAAGAAAAATAAGAAGAACAAAAAAAAACAGAAAAGATGAGAAATGAAAAGGCAAACAAATGAACAAGCTGGAGAACAGACAGGAAGGAAAGGAATTAGTGTACAGTTTTTGTTTTAATGGAAAGAATATGTTGTCCCCCCAGAAAAAAATGATTTGGTTGAACTGATGCAATCATCCATGCAGAAACAATTGTCAACCTTGACAACGAGGATTGCTTTCACACCTAACAATCATGGTAAACACTTTTTTGTTATAAGGCACTGATTCTAAATACATTTAGTTCTTACTACGAGAGTGTATAAACCCATTCAAAGAATAAATATTTCAAAAATGCTTCACCTACAAAGTGACTACCTAAGCAATATAATAAAACTTCCTCTATTTCATTCCTCTATCACCCCCTCCCCCCCACCACCACCCTGTTGATACCCCTTTTTGCATCTTTGCTTCCATAGCAAAGAATATATGTTCAGTGAAAGATAGCATCATGCTGGTACATCTTGATTGCTCTGAAAACATGAATATGGTAGTTGAATGCGAAAAGAGTCTTACAATGCGAGTAGAATTGTAGAATATAAATTGGGCATCTATTTTTTTCTCTATAACAATACAGCTTCATGAAAACATTACAAAGCACATGATCCATCAATGACACAATGGCACATCTACCTAACTTATTTTATTTAAATCATTTAACATAAAACAGTTCAAATTTTTCATATTTTCTAAATTAATCTGTTTCCCTCCTTAAATTGGCAACAATTAATCTCATTTTTCACTCCTTCATAGTTGGATAATGCGAAAGAAAAACTAAATTCAACCGAAAATATTGCCAATTTGTACACAATATAGCCCTTTTATATTTAACATGGCATTGCAATTTAGAGAGTTTGATGACTAGTTTACAAGAACATACTGCATTGCAAATAGACAAATATTTTTCTGTGATTTTTGCTCTTTCTACTCGAGCATTCTAGATCAAAAGTTGATAACAACACATGACTAAAAGGAGACACTGTGCTGCTAGGGAGGGGTATACAGCAAGGACAGCTACAGGTACTCAAAACAGAAGCCTATACAGGTAGCTGAAATAATAGAAACTGATACAAAGATATCTATATTTTACTTCTACACAACAGCACATGCATTTATATCATTTTTACCTGTTGTATGACAAATGGATTTTTCTGTCCGCATTTAAAAAAAAGAGAAGGAATTTGCAAGTAATATACAAATTATGAATATGATTATGAAAGATGAATAATAATAATAATAATAAGAAGAAGAATAATAATCAAATGATAATAGTCACATCTTTATCATACTACATTTCTAAGTGCTTTACACTGTAAGTAGTATTACCCTGGTCATTGGATCATTGCTAACCTGCACATGTATAGTGCCATCTGCTCCATGTGGAGTATTTTGGCCAGGTACCAAAATAAAAGTGCACACACGCCAATCCAACAACATTAATGTTCCCATCCTATCTGCTACCCATTTAACACCTGGGTGGAGAGTGGCAAGTGCAGATTAATGTCTTGTTAAAGGACAATAGTGCTGCAACAGGGATCCAAACCTCGTACCGAGTGGTTCACAGTCCGGAGATTTATCTACTTGAGGCTCAACGTTAATGTTCTTTGTTTATCTCCATATACCCAGACCTCATCAAACCATATGTATGACTGAAATAACTCTAAAGCACCCTCTACCATCATCCTACTTCTTCTTCTTCTTCTTCTTCTCCTCCTCCTCTTCCTCCTGCTCCTCCTCCTCCTGCTCCTCATCATCATCACCATTACCACCACCATGACCATCATCATCATTACTATCATCATCATCATCATCATCATCATCATAAATCATCAACAACAACAAAGAATAAAATAAACAGAGTTGGGGCAGCAACTTGATTGACAGAGAACATCGCATTCACCTTGATCTACATCAGATCCTTCCTCTCTCAGTCGCAAATCCCGAAAACAGGATGGCTTCAAATCCTTTCAATCTGTAGCCACTTGCCTAGGGAACAAACTCCCTGCATTTCTGAGAATAGTACTTTCCTTGAATTCTCCAAAAACACATGAAAACATACCTCTACAATTCTTAACTTGTCCTTAGACTAAAGGACAGTGCCTTGTTTCCTCTGGAAAGGTGTCATATAAATCAAATTATTATCATCATTCATTATTACAACTTATCAGCACTCTCAAAGAGAATATGGAAAACCCAAAGTAAAATTTGCTTTTCTTATTAACACCCTCATCCTGGGAATGAACTATTTCTCTTGAAACATAGAGCTGTTGAAACTAAATCTGAATAAGGGAATACAATGTTATTACATATTCTTACCTGCGTAATATCATCTGAGTGTGATTCCTTGTATGTACCAAGAAGATTGGTACTTCTTCTATCCCTGATAATATAAAAAGGAAAAATAAAACATTTCTAAACAAGACATTCATTCTAGTTTACTTATTTATAGCAGGACAAAAATTGTTTAAAAGTACAAGATTGGAAAAACACATCAAATCAACTTTTTAAATGTCCTTGAAATAAGTTTGTGAATAGCAACATCATATACAAAGTTACCTGCAAAGGTATATACTTCTATAATATAATAAAAGTAGGAAGAAAAACATGGATGATAAAGGGATTCATTGCGTCAGCTGCCATTTAAATAAGTTCATATTTCTGAGTATCTCCTTTAAAATCTTAGCACAGTAGGCTTTAGGCAAACAGCCAATTATAGAAGTTGTTTATATCCAATAGATGCACTCAATTAACGCAGGATTTCCTTGGCATTGTGACTTGACGATGTTGTACCTAGCCTGCCTTGTGTGACTTGATACATGTTATGAATAATGAGATTTTCTGTGATCTGAGTTAGATGTGGAAGAAGTGCATATAGAATGTGAAATTCAAGTAGATGTTTCTTGAAAGGAAAGAGATGGGATTCATGATTAGATCATTATCTTCATGAAGATAGAGTTTCAACACACTTATGACAGTTCATGCTGAGAGCAAAAGGGAGAAAACAGAAAAGAGGAATAATTAGAGAGGAAGAGAGAGAGAGAGAGAGAGAGAGAGAAAGAAAGAGAGAGCAGGAGGGAAAGAGAGGGAGAGAGGGTGTGGGAGAGACAGACAGAAAGAGAGAGAGAGTGAGAGAAAGAGAGAGAGAGAGAGACAGAGAGACAGAGAGGAGAGAAATAAGGAAACATCATGGAAACAAACAGAATTAAGGAGAAATATAAATTGACACACATGACAAGAGAAAATACAGAGACACAAGTGGTAAAACGTGAACATAAAAGATCAAGAAAGATCCAGGGAGGGGGGGGGGGCAATGAATGAGAAAAAGAGGGAGATAGGGTGAGATTGTGAGTGTGCGTGTGAGAGAAAGAGAATGAGATAAATATATATATATATATATATATAGAGAGAGAGAGAGAGAGAGAGAGAGAGAGGCACACACCTTTAATAGACAAACACTACAGACACAAAAACTAAAGAAACACATCAGGCTCATCCTGATATGGTGAGGAAATATGTTTGCAAGAAAATGTATTTTGGGGCACCTTTGCACAACCAAAGAGATACTGAGAAACATGAAATCATTAATGCAAGCATGCGGAAGTTAGAAACAAAATACACATAGGACATTTTGAAAAACATACAAGGAAATATGAACCTCTCTCTAGAGAATAACATCAGTAATTGGAAGATTTTACAATTTGATTTTCATCAATTTCTTGTCTAATGAAAATTGTATTTTACAACATTGTCTGACAAAATATGCTTAGATTTTTATAAAAAATTAAAAATTTTACCTTTGAGAGAAAATAAGTTACTTATTTTTAATCTCACTGGAGAATATGATTACATGTTTTGAAAGCAGTCAAGAGTGTCAAACCACCGTCTGGTAACGATACACGATGAAAGGTCAGGTCTATTATCTAATGTCTTTAGTAAATAACACGAGTTGGAGCGTTGGACCGGATCTAAGGAGGTAAAAATGGTTTTTGTTCCAGACTTAGTGTTCAAAAAATCATGTGGTTTATTTTGACTGTAGAGGTAAATATTTCAGCATGTATATCTTGATACTTCTCTACAGGAATTCCTCCTTCAAAAAAACAAAATCATGTTATTACTTATAAAGTTGATGAATGCTGCATGGAGTATATAAAAAAAAAATCTTATGTATAGTTATCATCAAAAATAGGTCACATCGAGATGGGGTTTGTGCAATGTGTCCATATTGATTATTGTGAGAATATTTATTTAGAGATAGAATGTAAGGTGAGTTTGGAAGGAGGTTCTGGAATAACTACTTGATAAAAGAGCCAAAAGGTCAGAGAGCCTTCAAAATCTTTAATTTGAACAAAATTGAACAGCTGTCTAAACAGAATGCACTTTGAATAGACAGCCTCCTCCTTCTAGCCATCCAGTCTTCATTCCTAGTAGAAGCAGGGAGTTAGGATGGGAGGTTTCCCTGGGAGTGAATTCATTCTATTGTTGGAGACGAAAGAAAAACATGGCTTCCAGGGGCTGTCACTGTCCTACATTTAAAATCCTGTTTATATCTACCAAAAACATGGCATAAACTCTGCAAGTTGTTCCCTGTCACTCACTAGTCGCTTGCAAGGCAGACACCGGAAGACCTCTTGCTCTACAGTGCTTCCCCGCTCCATTCGTGCACATTAATTTGCAGAATGATGTAACAAAAAAAGAGGTCAGTTGGCAGGGAGTATAGTTATTACTAATAATCTATCTCCTAAGGGAATTTTTTTCTCTGCCGCTGTCTCTTCATTTCCAAAATGAGTGTTATTAACAAACCCTTGTCCTTAATTTGCAATGCTTGCAATGCTTGGTATAATTAAAATACAATCTAATTTGTTGTCACTGCCGGTGAATCAAAAACCATTTTTGAAGGAAAAAAAGCTTTAAAGTCCTAACACTGGCAACAACAACAAAAATCGCCATTCTTTTTTATTATCTGACAACATTCTTACCAAGGTATATTGTTTTCAGAGACATTAGAAAACTATTGCTGTTACCAATTTTAATTAGAGGATGTGATCAATTTAATAGCCCTGAACATAATCCTGCCCTGAAAGAGATAAGTTTGTTCCTTTAAAAGGATTTCCACAATCGGAATTTCAGAACAGGTCTATCTGTTTATATGTCTCATGATAAGCTACATATCATAAAAGGAAGGTGTCAAAACTTACACACATCCCATCCCATCTAGCCTAGTGAATTAATACTCTTTTCCTGATTTTTTTAAAGGTAAAGACCAGTTATGGTCATGCGATTGCATTGTGAAAGAAACGTTGTGGAATCGATCAGAAAAGGTTGATCATCTAGCATCTAGCATCTAGCATCTGGAAGGTTCTGGAATCATCAAAATGATAAGAAATTTGGCCCATTCTTCGTAAAGTTACAAGCACTATACACAGAAAGATGTATATGGGACTACCCTATATCTCTCACAGACCATGAGAGAAACAAATTTACCAAATATATGAATTAGTAGGTGGTTTCCCAGCAAATTTTTTATCATCATGTATTAGTCAAAACATATTCTTTCACATGATTGGTAATGAGAGCTTCCATTTCATTTTTTGGAATTGGGGCGTTTCCAATACTGGTCTTTACCTTTAAGCGATGAATTACTGCATATACCCACCCATTCATATCATATGTTATTTTAGAAGTGTTAAGTTTAGTCTTGAGGAATAAAAGGATTTGAGATAACCTGTCAATCTAATCCACATCTACCACGCTCAATTTCACCTTCAATTAGGCTAGGTGGTGATGATGATTATGATGGGTCTGCCAGCCAGCCAGTCAGCCAGCCAGTCAGCCAATCTAAATACTCAATACAAAGTGTCTTCATATCATCGTTGGGGACATAGCCTCATAACTCAAAAATGTTCAATTTTCAGGAGAGCTGTACAATTTTCATGTTGAACATAGCACTGACAACCTTCCCCATACAGATCACTAGAGGCATTAAAGATATGCATTATATAGGTTTATCAAAGTATCAAATAGGCCCTGAGCTTGAAATATTATTAAGCAAAGAGAAATTATCAGAAATCATACCATCAATTTTCCATATATTACTTTAAAAAATCCCTTTCTACACCTGTTACAGGATGATTTAAGGTATACCAATCACCAACAAATATTTTGCTCTTGATGGAAGGGATTTCATATTATTATACTATTCAAAGTATAAGCTTCAAATATTACTTTTACAAAGAGATTAAAACGCACTCACAGTGAATAGTAAAATGTCTTTTTGGAGCAGACTAGTTAACACACGCTTACACACTTGCATGAACGTTGCTGGAAATAGTTTTTGCATGTTGTTAAATTTGTGTTCGAAGAGTGATTTGTAAATTTTAGAAAATCCCCCCCCCCCAAAAAAAAAAGCAGATTTAAACTCCAACAAGATTTTTATCCCATACATAACGTATGTTTAGAATATTGTAATAACCTGACTACACAGATAATCAATAGTGTTTTGCAACAAGAGTTATGTGTGATAGGAAATTGGTTATGGTAATTTCTCAATACTTTTGTATGTATGCTTATATACTTATATTGTATGCAAAAATCTATGCTGGAGCAAGCTTTTGGATTATTCCAAAGGGCTTTCATTTTACCTTCAAATGTCACAAATGGAGGAAATTGAGGATTTGAGATACTTGATCACAACGTCCCTGCCATAATGTATGTCTGAACTTTACGATTGATTAAAATGGATGGCTCAGTATGAGTGTCATCTCAGAGTGATTCATCAGTTATTCAACTGGTGGAGGTGACGTCAAACTAGTGCTCTTTAATACAACCTTGACTTTGAGTTTAATCAAATTGAAGCTTGAATAATGTATGCATGTAGTTATGCATACAGTCTTTCATACACCTATGGTTTTCTCGTTCATTTTCAAGCTACCAGCAGTCTGGAATGAACCTCACATATCAATCATTACAATAAATATCCTTTCACAAAGAAAAAAACTGTATTAGTTAAAACGTGATAATCTTTGACTTCACAATTTAGCAGCACATATAAAGGCAAAAAGCAGGTGTTACAAGTCAAACAACCTCTTACCAACCAAATCTATGAAAATATAAAATGTTAATTGATTTGATTGATTTGATTGTATTTAGCAACAGCAATACAGTAATAAATGTTATACAATGTATTTACATATACAAGAAGAGAAACTATTGGTTGGTAAAAAGGGGCACATGTGCTAGTCGAGCCTAACCCCGTAAATTCTAAAAGCAAATTTAAATTTTCCCATCTACATTGCCGATTTTAATTTTCAACTTGTACTGTGCCATTATCAATGTGAAACTTATACATCACGATTTATGATCCAGATTAAGTTTAAAAGATTAGAATTGTTTCATTGTTTTATCTTAATAAAAGCAAAGCAGTAGTGACCAGCATAAACTACGATTATTTCAACTAGTGCGGTTGTCTGTTATTTTAAAGCCTTAGATCCCCTGGTTGCTTACTTACAAGCAACTTGATGACTTCTTAGCAGTCAGGTAAAATCATCATAATCATCATCATCATCTTTCTTTCATCAATGAATTTGCAATTATCTCTACCAAAATAACTATTGAAAAAAGTAGGTAAAAATTGCAATGTATTTGTTACTTATTTTTATTTACCATTGTTTGAACTATCTATATTTTGCATTAAATTTTTTAACATTATATTGTAACCATTGTAATTCAGTCTTTGGATTGGGAGAATGGAAGAGACTTAATAAAATCTTCAATATCTCATACCTATCACTGCCTAAGGTTCAGCAAATCTTTGACATAATCTTTGCTCTTCTAGCAGTGATTTGGAAGCTGGGAACTCATCGCATTCCTTGAGATTCAACTTCATGGCAGGGTTATATTAACAATCTGTTGCACTTTGCAAATGATGTGGCAAGGTTTAAAAGGTTAAGTTATGTTCTCTACATGGGAAATTGGTAGACTTTTAAACTGTCAAGTTGAATTGAGGCCTTTGATATCAGACTGTACTATGCTCACAGGATCCGCTTCAGGTAATCATCACTCATGGGAAACATGCAGAGCAGAGCAGAGAGCAAGAAGAGGGAAGGCAAAGAGGAGAAAGAGGATGATTGGTATCAACTAGCAATGTAAGATGTACATCAGGTGATCACTGAATCAGAAATAGGGGCTGAGAGAGAGAGAGAGAGAGAGAGAGAGAGAAAGAGAGAGGGAGAGAGAGAGAGAGAGAGAGAGAGAGAGAGGCGCGGAAAGGAGAGGAAGAAGATTATTGGTATGAATTTGGAAAATAGCATGTCCGTCAAGTAATCACTGAATCAGAAAAAAGGGCTGAGAGAGAGAGAAAGAGAGAGAGCCAGAGAGAGAAAGAGAGAGAGAGAGATAGAGAGAGAGAGAACGAGAGAGAGAGAGAAAGAGAGACGGAGAGGGAGACAGACAGAGAGAGAGAGAAAGAGAGATAGAGAGAGAGAGAGAGAGAGAGAGAGAGGGGGAGACAGAGACAGAGAGGGAAGAGGAAAGAAAAAAGAGGGAAGAGGGAAAGGGGAAGATGAGGATGATCAGTATGAACTGGGAAAGTAGCATGTACATAACCATTGCATCAGAAACAGGGGCTGTGTGAATTTGGAAAATAGCATGTCCATCAAGTAATCACTGAATCAGAAAAACGGGCTGAGAAAGAGAGAGAGAGAGAGAGAGAGAGAAAGAAAAGAGAGAGAGAGAGAGAGAGAGAGAGAGAGAGAGAGAGAGAGAGAGAGAGAGTAGGGGAGGGAAGGGAAGGGAGGGAAAGGAGAGGAAGAAGATTATTGGTATGAACTGGGAACATAACATATCCATCAAGTAATCACTGAATCAGAAAAAAGGGATGAGAGAGAGAGAGACAGAGAGACAGAGAGGGAAGAGGAAAGAGAAAAGAGGGAATGGGAAAGGGGAGGATGAGGATGATTGGTATGGACTGGGAAAGTAGCATGTACATCAAGTAACCACTGAATCAGAAAAACGGGCTGAGAAAGAGAGAGAGAGAGAGAGAAACAGAGAGAGGGGAGTTATGTAGAGGTTACTTCAAGAAGAGGGGAGAGAGAGGAGTGCATCAGGTAATCACTGAATCAGCCAGGTGAAAAACAAGGCTAGAGTAAGAGAGTAAGAGGAGAGAAGGGGGTGGGGAGGTGGAGATATATATATATATATATATATATATATATCTATATATGATAGTGAGAGATTAATTCAATGTTTGCAGCAGCAAAATCTCTAGTATATCATGTACATCACAACAAGCTAATTCCATTATCAGTTCCAATACAAACAAAACCCAACAAAACAAAAACAAATTGTCCTTGTATCATAATCTGTCTTCCTTATTTCATTGTTCCAAGAATCAAAATTCACATTCTACGAGCACATACAAGCTTCTCTTATAAGAATGCCAGATACATCATAGAACAAGGAACAGTTCAAACTAGCCATGACAGTGGAAGGGTGAGGCATTCACTTAAAAGACATTAACACATGCCTGTGCTGGCATGTATGCATACACAAGCATGTTTATCAGCCGAATAAATGCAACAAACCAAGCAAAACATTTGACATGGTGGAAAGAGAAAGGAGGAGAAAGGAGGAGACTCAGGTTTCATTTTCCTCAAGAACAGCTTGAAAGCTGGAGGGAAATGTCTTCACACTTGACCTAACATGTCAGCAGGAGCCTTAGTCATGCTTACATCTAGAAAGAAGAACATCACTTTGGGCTATGGCTGGAGATGCAACACTTTATCATACTGGTATCACCTAATTACTGATTGCAAGCAAAAATACCATCTAAATTACACTACTGCTGTTTGTTAAATTTCACAGGAACTACTCAATCGTCAGGGGTATTTTTTGTTCTTCAAAATTTCTAGGGAAATGCTCAATTACAATCAAGATATCAGTAGCATCAGAAAATGTATAAAAAACTCACAAGTGAGAGGACAGTGAATTGTACCCTGATATCCAAAGTAGATATGTACATGTTCATATTGGATTTCTGTTCAGGAATATAAACATGGGATTTTCAATTTCCTTAGAAATTTTGATGTGGCAATCATACTTTCATTCTCTGCAGTGTAGCTTCTAGATAACAATTTCCTGGAAGCTAAAGGATAATGAAAACCAGGCTTTGATGGGTGTGTGAGCTTTCACAGAAGATCTTATCTTCATTGATCGGAATGGCAAGAAAGCTTTAGAGACTTACCAAAACATGAGATATGCATCATTGTCTACTGCCTCTGTACCCGCACTTAAAATGTCATCAGTTGAGTTGATGTCAAAGCTTGTAAAAGAATTCCCTTCATAACCTGCATCAAAAGATGATAACACCTGATAAACACATCATTTACATACTTTACACTAAAAAGGAATAACATGTCCCTATAGCTTACGTCAAAACTGACCTTTATGAAAATGCAAAATTGCAAATCCGTAAAGAAATATTGATATGATCATGATATTATTCATTGTTCTTACTCCATAAAGATACATATCAAATGGCTGATGATATTTCTATTATGACAGAACAGATCAGAGCAAATCACTTTTCTCCAAATAAAGAACTTCTAAAACTCTTGGACATTATAACAACTTAAAATAATCACTATGATGCATTTAATATACATAATACTAAAATAATTGTGAGACAAGGAGGATTTATAATGTCTGCAGACAAATATCCCACAAAGTGTTTATAAGCAAACATAATATATCTCTAGGGGGGGGGGGAGGGGGGCAAGCTCCGTTTTGTGAAAATGAGTTCGAAGTTTCCAACTGAGTCTGTAATTCCAGACTAGAACCTAAATGCAATCCATTTAGTCTATTTTTCTAACCCAAATTGGCTCAGATAGCCTAGTGTATTTTGGCAAGCATACACTGACTCCCAACACTATTCACCTGCTTGGACTAAAAATACTGTTAAACTTAACTCTTTATATGCCACACAAACAATCTGCTCGTGCCATGTTGTATTTATCATAGCAAAGATACCGGTATACCAAATTATTGCAGTGCAAGATTAATTTAGACAGGTGAAAAAGGGTTGTCATGGAGCTAATCAAGACTAAAAAAGGGGTAATTTTGCAAAGCCAGTGTGCTACACAAAAGCAATCGTACCATTAACTTGTGCATACTGTTTTGTGAACAATTGCACATGCGGCAAACCATTTTCAGTTTTAATGTTACAAAACATGCTACATCACTCTTGAGATGATATTAATTCTTTCATTTAGTATTTCTTTGAGGATTCGGTAAAATCATTCACATTGAGAATTTGTGAAAGAAAAATGAAAATATCAGTGATGCCAATTAGATATTGAACAAATTATTCACAAAATATTCTAGAGTCAAACCTGTCTGTTAAGGCCACCCAAAAGAATAGAAAATGTTGTCACTGTAGACAGGTAGTCTTTATAGACAGGTTCTACAGAGCACTTTCCTATCTCAACGGAGACAAAATACATGGCCATTATAGAGAGGTGGGCTTTATGGAGAGGTGGCTACTAAGACATGTTTGATTGTACTTTTATTCCTTGGTAATTATTTTATTTTTGTTCTTGGTTACAAAAGAGTGTTTACAATTGATCATACCTGTGAATACTTGAGGAGCTTTGTTTCTTTTCATCCTTGTGTCCCAACATCTGAAGAAGAAAAAAACAGAAGAAAATCAAGAAAGTGTTAGCTTCTCTTCTACATACATGTACCATCATGAAAGACAAGGTTGAGTACTGGGAAAGGTGAAGACTAATTAGTGAGCTTTTTCTTTCTCTTTATTTGAGTGTGAAAGAGTATCATAGAAGAATGTCCCCTGAAAAGGATGGCTCTTCAAATGCCCTCATGTTCGACATGACAAGTAAGTAATGGCTAATGGTTGTGGACCAAAGCTTTCATCCACATGTCTGTGTAGAGCATGTGACTCATAACAAGACAGAGCCAATGTTTTATCATTTTGATGATTCCAAAACTTCACAGTATACACCAATACTTGCCCGCTACAAGATCAACCTTTCCGATTGCCTCCACACAATTACATTCACATTGCAATCGCATGACTCAACATCGTCTCTCTCTAAAAAAAAAAAAAAAGACTTCTTGACAATCTATGTTTAATATCCTTCCATTTAGCTTGCTGAAGGAATACATGAAGTGTATGAGGAGTTCATAATCATTATAACATAAGTATGTTGAAGCCACCTGTGTGCTCTTCAACGCTCAAAATACACGGGGGCGGTGGGCGATTCGCCCCCGTGAGCGGTGGGCGATTCGCCCCCGTGAGCTCCATAATCGCCCCCGTCAGGTTGCTCACGGTGGCAATTGCAAAATTAAAAATCGCCCCCGTGGAATTATAAAATAAAGATTATCTTTTCTGATATAACTTTAACACAATATTGAGTAACAATTTTCAAACCTTAAACCAATGAAATGGAACTTAGATGGCGCTATCTCTCCCATCTCTCTGAGTATTACCGATACAAAAAAAACGAAAGCTCGCACTATATCGTGCGGCCGTCAGCAGTGGCTATACTGCGCCGGTAGTACAGGTTTGCACGCTGACGCCCTATATCTGCTGGAGCTGGAGATGATCACGCAAAGACTGAAATATGTAGAAGGTTTTTGTTGTGAAAAGTGTGAATCCTCTGAAATCTGGTGATTCTAAAAGACCAGCAAATTATGTACCTCGACCAGTAAATCAATGTCGAGAAGAAGAACAAGACCAAATATGTTGCAGGGGCAGATCTAGGCGGTTTAGGAGGTTTAACCCTCCTACCCCCCCCCCCCCCATCCCTTTGGGCTGCCATGTGAAAATGTGATGTGCATAGAAAAATGCCATCATGTGTCCAGACCTACACAGTATAGATGTCAGTAGATGCCAGGAAAGCATCACATACAGGGGGGGGGGGGGGTTTAAAATAGCACCCAAATAATGCTCCGCACGTTAGTAGATGCCAGGAAAATATCACTAACGGGGGTTCAAAATAGCACCAAAAAATCGCCTCGCCGCTTCGTGGACGATGCTCCGCATGTTAGTAGATGTCAGGAAAACATCACTGTCTAATTACAGGGGTTCAAAATAGCAACAACAAAAATCGCCTTGCCGCTATGCGGCTCATGGACGATAACTGATAATGATAAAAAACAAGGAATTTAGGAGTTTCATGGGTACCCATTCAATGGAAATTTGTATTAAAAATAAGAGCCCCCATCAGCACTAAAAGAGAAGGCTCACGGGGCCTTTTTTTGGGGGGGGGAAGAGCCCCCGTGGACAAAAAATTAATTTGAGCCCTGGTGCTCTTTAATAGAAGACGTCTGTATTTCTTAATTCTGTAGTTTTCTTCCCAACTTGATGAATTGATGAGATAGCTTACCTGACTGTACCATCTCGGGATGATGAGAATACTGTGAATGGGTTTCTATGTGCAAACTTTACGCCTGATACTGGACCACCATGACCTAGGACAAACAAAATAAAGAGAAAAAGAAAGAAAATGAAACTCAATTATAATCAAATAAGGTGGAAAACAAATACTAAGGAGAAACAAGCATAAAGGAAAACAGTTTGAAAATAATAAAACATTGACTCCTTCGAGATATTATAGTTTGATAGAGAGAGTTGAAAGAGAGAGAGGGGAAGGGGGGGGGGGGGTGGATAAACAAAGAAAGAACCAGGGGAAGAAAGGGATAAAAGAATAGAAAGAGTGAGAGATTTACAGAGAAAGATTAAGAGCAATGAATAGGAGAAGAAGAAAAGAAAAGAAAAAACTAAATCAATTTTCTCTTCATCAGCAGGCTATACATATAGTTACCAACCCCAATCCTGCAACAAAGTAATGCAAGTTATCAATCCTAAGAACTACGAAGTTAACAATGATATCACTAAGATAATGTGTAATTCAAAACAATACAACAGTGAAGGTATTCATTTGTCACAGCCACAACAGAATGCAAATGTTTTGAGGCTTATCAAGCAGATAGTATTTGTTTTGGTGTCTGGGATGTAATTACTATGGCACCAGACTGAGCGACATTTAAACAGGTCTGTCTACATCACGACTCAAAATACATTACTGCAAATCAATACACACACATAGACTAGAGGCCTCAATACCATGCGTTTCAATATTTATACCAAAGGTAAAATCAAACATTATACATGGAAATCAATATTTCTTGAACAGTGCATGAATTCCAAAAATGCTTTAAAATATTAGGGCTGTCGTTGGCATGAATTTTCATTATTGACCTTCGATAGACATTTTTCTTGATCTTGCAATTGTTGACTTACATGAAACTGTGTCAATAAAACTTCTGATTTCCAGCGCAGATCAATATCCTTCATTTAATCAATGATTGTATGTGTTATCAAAAAGTCAGCCACAATTAAGAGTCATTTATCATTGCTTATTATAAAAGTTTGTGGTGCCTGGCAAATTGCTAGTAACCAAAGCAAATATATTAGCAGTATTGACAATTGACAATTACAATATAATTTGTCGCTAGATAATGGTATAATATATCGTACTATTTGCTTTCCACTTTCCCAGATCTTTTTAAGACCTTCAAGATTTATTGTGTAAAAATTCTGTCCTCAAATAGAAATTATTTTGACTCAAAGTAACAGTAACCAAACCTGCCAACCTCTGGAATTCAAAAACTGTATTCTTTGATCCCAAAAGTTGTATTTTACAATAAAAACATGAGTTGATATGCAGATCAATGCCTCTTACAGACCTGCCAATCCCACCTGAACAAAACTCCTATTCTTCCCCCCCCCCCCCAAAAAAAAAAATCCAAATTTTGATCGATAAGTACTTTCTCACAGCGAAAATGTTTTAGTCAACCTGCATAAGTTCCTACATACTGGAAGAACATTTTTTATGGATCATTGGTTGAATATGCATGATTTCGTCATGACTGGTGTGTTCGATGAATCAATGAACATCCCCAAATTGCTGATGTGAGATGCTTGTAGGATACTTTACAGGAGGAATGGGCAATTTGCCATTGAAAATGACACACACACACAAATTTTGAAGAAAAAAAAAGAAAAAAAATTGTATTGTCGTATTTACTTTTTAAAATCGTCCAAAATAGGATAAAATCGTACTGGTTGGCAGGTCTGAGAAACCCCCTTAGAAACATTTATGGGGTTTGAAGCACAATCATAAATGCTAAGTGTCTAAACAGCAGACCCTTATAGGCTTATACAGCGCAAGATCTCAAGGTCTGTATGCATTATGCATGTCATCTCCAGCTTACAAACACTCATTATAAACCATAATGGTTCTGCTCTAGCACCTTGTTTGTTGGAACACACACATATCCAGCAATCTATATACTGCTCATATACATTGAAGGTCAGTTTGGATTTGTGATTATAAAACAAGAAAATACTCTACTACTCAAGGTTAAAGTTGACTTTTGAAGATGTTAACAAAAGAGTAAACCTTTTTTCTATGTTTTATTTTATAAATTTAATGCTTTTTTTGGGGGGGGGGGGGGGAGAAATGTACTTGGATGAAAGTGCCAAATTTGAAGGGAAAAAGTAATCTTAGGAAAATGCTTTATTCTATTTAATTTATTATTTTCATAATCCAAAAGTTTTGATACAAAATGTTGTCACTAGCTTAGTTGTCACACCCCGAAAACTGTGAAATAGAACATTAAATCTGTGGCATATACTGGATTTGAAATTAGTATAACTTCCAATGAACATGTTAAAATTGGTAGCACTAGATATCTTGAAAAGAACAGTCATTATGGGAAAATACCATCAAAGATATAGAGCCTGAAAATGGCTTTCTGAACTATTTTATTTCACAGTGAGTTAAAGAGAAATTTCACCCTGATATTAAATTGGGTGTTAAAATGAGCAGATAATGAGAGGAACAGGTCGGTGAAATATGAAAAAAGCTTATTAAAATTGATAAAGTTTTGAATTTTTTGCACCCTAAATATAATCATTGGAAATATGTTTATATACAACCTATGTAATAAAAAAATGCAATTCTGTCATCAATAACAAAGAAACTTAAAGTTTAAGAAATTTCTGTACAGAGAAAATTGGAGAGGACCCCGCAAGATATATCACAGTGTTGCCAATTTGGGTTTCACTGATTACAACTTTAAAATTTTGTAGCTTTCACATTTGAAATCATATTTTGCTCAAACTTTCACTGACCTGTTTCTCTCATTGTCTGCTTCTATTTAAAGTACCTTACTATCAGGGTAGACTTCTTCTTTATTCATACATACACGTACATGAAGGTTTGCTGAAGGATACACTAAAGGCAGTAAGGCTATCAAGAAGCCTCATTAGTTGTGATTTACAATGATTTTTTTGGATTTTTTTCATGTTTATTTAGAGGTACATGTATATGGCCCTTTCATGTCAAGCTTTAGGGTGTTACATATAATTCCTTGTTTCTTAAGGGAGTGGCGCAAATGAACACAGAACCTTTAAGAGGAAGAAACTTCATTGAATATATATCTCTTTACAGGCAATCACTTTGGAGCGAATTAAATGCAAATAACTTGGAAATCAATATTTGGTTTGAAAACCTGTGTATACCACGAGCTTGGACTGGATTCAGTTACCAACACAAGAAACCCTGAGTGAAAGAAGATTCATCAGCAACAACCAAATCTTTCTTCAATTTCACAAGATTCCTTTATATTACTTTTCTCTTCATATCATGTTCCATTAGCTTTAGGGTAATGAGATTTCGCTGCTCTCACTCACCTCATACAGTTTCAAATTCCCCATTTCTCCCATCTCTATATCTCTTTCTCTCCCCCTCACTCACTCCCCCTTCTTTCTGTCTCTCTGTCTCCCACTCCCTCTGTCTCCCTCTTTCTCCCACTCTCCCTCTCCCTCTCTCTTTCTCTCCCCCTCACTCCCCCTTCTCTCTCACTCTCTCTCCCTCTCCCTCTCTCTCCCTCCCCTCCTCTCTCTCTCTCTGCTTCTATATTTTACAAGCTGTTTGCTTCTCATCAATACTTCTTGGAACACGATTAATCAATGCAATCGGATGTGTGAAATCTCTAGTATGTCCAGGGATATGTTACACTTCTCTCTCCTACAATATTCACATTATAATGTGGCATGCACTGCCCAAATGGTTGATCTTATAGGCCTATCCAGACACTATGGCAAGTTTTATCATCAAGAAATTATGTCCTCTGAGAATAGCTGTTGATGTTACCGGTATATTATGAATCCACTTGCAGTCCAAGCAGGATATGTAAATGATCTGGTTTGCGTCCATCAGATTCAGACAATTTGTACCAACCTTGTTTTAAAAAGCATCCTTTAGATAGTTTTGAGTCAGCAATGTTATGACATTGAATAGTGCAAAGTCCTGTGTTTTAAAGGTAAAAACCAGTATTGGAAACGCCCCAATTTCAAAAAATGAAATGGAAGCTCTTATTTCCAATCATGTGAAAGAATATGTTTTGAATAATACATGATGATAAAAATGTTGACGGGAAACCGCCTACTAATTGATATATTTGGTAAATAAGTGTATCTCTCGCCTGTTGAGAGATACAAATGCACGTGTCGCGCACGTGTGTGTAGTCCCATATACATTTTTCTGTGTACAGTGATTCTAACTTTATGAAGACTTGGCCAAATTTCTTATCATTTTGATGATTCCAGAACCTTGCAGTACATCTATGCTAGATGATCAACCTTTTCTGATCGATTTCACAATGTTTCTTTCACAATGCAATCGCATGACCATAACTGGTCTTTAGCTTTAAGTTCTGTTTTTCAAAAGCCTGATTCTTACATGAAGAAGTTGTATAACCATAACCGTAGATATCATAGGCCTACAAGGTGAGCACTAATCTGACAACATAGAAATGATTTTGAGTTTTCCTTTTACATTTACACCAGAATTCATCGCAAATTATTATGGAAGGAATATCAACATATCTGTCACATGTCTCTTTCAATACCCCCGGAACCCGTTTCACAAAACCTTTTTTCAATGACAAATGACAAAAATCAGTGACAAATCTGCTGATAAGCAATCAGAAGCAAGGATTTCACTAGCTTTGGAAAAACTGTCATTTGTCATTAATGACAAATTTATTTTCATGGGGCCCTGAAGAATGATGAGACAATACATTGAATTAGTTTCATTTTAATTCCCATTTGCTACCACTAAAACAGCTTTATCACATATAAAAACTGTATCTAGCATGTTGCTGAGTATGTGTAGTTTGTTCTTCAAAGTATAACAAGGATTTCATACCAATTATAATGCTCTTTCATTTCATCTGTCCTTCTCTAATTAATCTACACCATTTCTAGTAAATCAGTTTACACCATCAGCTTTCATTCTGATTAAATGGTGCAAAACTTGCAGTGATTTGTTTGGGGTAGCAACTTGAGATATCGAAAACACTGTCAAGTGTGACAGAAGAAATAATATTAGACTGTGTCA